TGATCCATTCAAAACTGCCGCCGGTAGACGAGACACAAAAATAGGTGCTGTCCTCAGTTTAGAGGCAATAAGTGTGCCAAGTTTCAAGGCGATCGTTTAAGAATTGCGGCCACAAAATATTAACAAAAAAATGGGCGTGTCACTGCCCCTGTGGTTTGGGCATGGACCAATATAAATAGGTACAATCCTGTTGTTGAAATGATTTATCTTGCCGAATTTGAACCAAATCTGTTAATAATTGTGACCTGTAGAGAATTTATAGACACAAATATATTAACAAAGATATAGGCGTGACACCGCCTCTGGTGGTCGGGCTCGGGCATGCACCAAAATCAATAGGTGCCGTAATTAGGTATAAGGAATAAGTATGCCAAGTTCCAAGATGATCCATTTAGAATTGCGGTCTGCAGGCGATACACACAACAATAGGGATCATCCTTAGGGTAAAAGGAATAAGTGCGCAAAGTTTCAAGACGATCCGTTAGAATTGTGGCCTGTAGGCGATGCACAGACTCACAGAGAGAGAGAGAGAGAGAGAGAGAGAGAGAGAGGGGTTTAACGTCCACTCGACACAAACTAGGTCCTTTCGGGACTAACATATGGTTCAATTTTATTTCAATAATTCGCTTGCGCGTATAGGGGTCTTCAGCAGTGGGGGGAAACCGGAGGACCCGGAGAAAACCCACGAGGTTAGACAGACGACCCTACTCTTTGTCATGTACAAGCTTGGGCTGGAATCCAGACCACTTGACTCAATGACAAACACACAGACAAGGGCGGCTTCATAATATGTTCACATTATGATATGAAATGAAATGGGGTTTAACGTCCTACTGTTCTGCTCCAACTGAGCTAATGAAGACGGTTCACATTATGAATGTGGACGTATACAAATGGATACGAATGCAACTCAAACTGCACTGTGAGTGTGAATCTGCTTCCACTTGATCAACCATTTTCTTAATTGCCAGTTTTTTGTTCTGAATATCATCGTGGCCGCTTATAACATTGATCATGAAAGTCGACAACCCGACATCACGACATTTTTACCCGACATCACATTTTTAGTGTCGTAATGTCGGGTAAAAATGTCGTGATGTCGGGTAGAAATGTCGTTATGTCGGGTTGTCGCGTTATGAAAGGCGACATCACGACATTACGACATGATACCAATCAGCCATCATAATAATAGTAAATCATTACTATCATTTATTCACGGTTATAATATTATGTGAAGCGCCCAGTTAGTAGTACCATTTCTGATGCTCTCGTTTACAAGAATTTGCTCTCGAAAGATTGCGGATGGTTGGAATCCTCAATTAATTTTCTACATACAAGTTTTCTGTGGAGTTTTGAATGTGAGATGGGTACATGGGTAAGATTAGAATTGGATGCTGTCAGTTCACGTTTTTGGGAAAAATATTGGTAAATTAAAAACTATAAGCTACCTGTTCGGGCCTTAGCGCCATGGAGCCCTGGTCCGTCCTCGTTCCGTTTGAGGCTATCGTCATCGTCAGGGTATCCGGGCCTAGTCCGGATCTGTAGAACGTTACAATGGTCGCTCTAGGTATCCGATCATTAAACACGAAACTGAAAGCGAAACTTTTACTTTCGTCTTCAATTCATAGGCGCTAAAAATCTCGATTTTCTGTTCGATATTTTGCTAATTGCGGACCTTTTTCCAAACGATGTGTTTTAGCAAAATAACCTCCAGTTACCCCAATACGCCAAATGACGCTAGGGAATGTGCCTTTCAAAACATTTCGAGTCCGTGGCCGGGAGACCCTCCATCGCTTGTTGCTTGTCCCAGGGCCCGGATGTCGCTCCCGCGGGCCCCGAGGACTGTGCTAGCATAACCAAGTTTTTCATACCGTTTTGGTTAGATTAAGCATAGCAGCCACCGTAATGTGTTTATTGAAAACTTTAATTGAATCGTTTTAGAATGGTGCTAGACAATTATTACGAATCTGGAGTCCATTCTCCATCCTTGATAGCATTACCAGATCGTCAACGAATTGTAAATGGAGATTTTGTATTATCTGAAGTGGGGGAGCCTATTGGAGTTGTTGAACATTTGAAATGGTTTTGCTTTTTAATAGAGAAGGATTATGGACACACACCCCGTAAAGATTATATTTTGTAAATATTTTGTTAGACAGGTATGGCTAGTTTCGTCTAAAGATACATTGAAGATATGCTCAAGAAGGTATGCTATTATTTATTACTGACAGGAAGCCTTTATTTAACTCGAACAAAGGCCAGTCCCCTGTGGTTGTTTATGACATCTTTTGACCATTTGTGTATGGGGAAATACAAGAATCCCACTATAATCTCTTTTTTAATCCGTACTAGAATTATTTGTACTTTCACGTAACCAGCCAGTTAGTTAGCCATTAAGATCAACACATGAGAAGCGCCTCTTGAATCACTCGAGCAGACAGGCTCCCTAGTTATTGACACCTTAATTTTCAACATTTTGGCGCCACGACGTATTTCAGGGATTCCAGTACTTCCATATTATATGTTGTCTGGCTGGCATCCCCATATAAAACCCAGCTAATTTAGCAACTTCTAAAAATCGATGCTCATTCGATTGCCAGTTAACACGATTATGCAATTGCTGATAATTGGCTAACAGGCTCTATAATAACACGTGAACCAACTGCTGAAGCCATATATGAGATTATAATACAATGTCACAGCAGCTGTGTATCCCTAATGAAGAGCCGCTACTACTAAACTAGTTATTCATATAAGAAACTATAGCTACGATAGATCAAATTTAATTTATGCCGAATATTCAAATATCGGAATTGTAATCTTACACAGGAGTTCTGCAATCGAATATTCGAATACTCGAGCCGAACAATATAATTTAGGATACAGACACTTATAATATTACTGCACAAGTGAATCAATTCTCTGTCCAAGAGGTTTAGCCTTTTAGCCTATTATTTCTAGACTTTAAAAAATTGCAGTATTTATGATGTTTGCAGACATTTCAGATATACGACATGGAGTTCTTCAATCGTTAGCAGGTTTCTACAGTTCCAGAGATAAGCACGTCTTTAAAAAAATCTGCTTCTTGCATTGCCGTCTCCCTCTAAAATTGCTTCCTATTTGTTTGTATTTCATTAGGTCATATTCATTAATATGAAATGGGTATACCATATATATTCCTATATAAGCAATCAGATGAATGTTGTGGTACGGTATATATTGAGACAAGGAAATAATCTTTTGTGTGTTGTAGTGTACTACCACTATACTCTCCATCACCGCAACTGGCTCGTAACGTAGCTCTAGACCCCCCCCCCCCCCACACACACACACACACCACACTCCCCAATTTGCTTCCAACCTTGGGATGTGACAACGAGATCTGCCACATATTCTTCTGAATGTAAATCCAGTAAATCCGGAAGGGGGGGGGGCATTACATACTTTCACATAGGCCTGTTCTGGACTTCAGCTTAAGTAAGGAACGTATAAATGTCTAAATAACTAATAAGTTATCAAATGATTTCGTTGGATATTGGCGGATCTGTCTAAAATAACACCCCACCCATACTTTATCGTAAAGTAGAATGTGAGATGGGTACCTAGTGACATGTATAAGATTAGAATCGGATTCTGTCAGTTCAGAGTATCCGGGCCTTGTCTGGGCCTGTGAACGTTACAATAGTCGCTCTTGGTATCCGATCATTAAAAACGAAACTGAAAGCGAGACTTTTACTTAGGTCTTCGATTCATTAGGCGCTAAAAATTTCGATTTCGATGGGTATATATTCTCCTGTATAATAAAACAGATGAATGTTGTGGTACGATATATATTGAGGCAAGGAAATAATCTTTTGTGTGTTTTAGTGTAGCCTACTACCACTATATTCGTTGGATATTGGCAGATATGTCTAAAATAACACCCCATCCAGCCGCAGGAACAATTAGTCAAAGTTTCCAAAACATTTCCTAGCAGCATTAGACCTATGTTCCTGAAGCAGCGACCGCGAGTTTTACAGCATCTCAGATGTACGGAGCTAAAGCGAGATCAAGACTTCTATTGAAGATGCATTGGACCCGGCTAACTTCATCACAAGGTGACCGAGAGTAGCAATTAATAGAAATTATGTTTGGTATAAGTTGTTCTTGGCGGTCAGTGCATAAGGCCTTTGGGATTTTTTTTTTTTTTCGATAATATGACCCTTGTTAACAAATCTGGAGGTGTTGGCCGCGACAGTTCCTGTGGATTTTCCAGCAAGATTGCCTCTCGTCACTGGTGCTGAATGAGAGCGAGACACGGTTATAGCTGTTCCAGTGGGATGAAGACCCGATGTCAAGTGTACACGTAAAATAAGTTACCCTGCCCGGATTTTCCTCATGGCAGTCCGGTTAAAGTAGGATGTTAAACCCCATTTCATATCTTTTCAGATATTTAGCTGTGTTGTGTTTGTATCGTCCATTTCTTGTGTTTATCTGTGCAGTCTACCCTGAATGGCCTGTAAATGCTACCCAAGCGCCATTCAAGGGATAGCCTTCGCTTTATAATATTGTGTTTTATAGTCAGAGCTCCATAGATAAAACAGCTAAGCCAAAGAAGAATAGAGAACGCACCTTTCTGTTTCCATACATTTAATATTTTTGGTGCAATATATTTAAAATATATTTTTCTTTCCTTTCTTTATTGATTCAGAAGTATTCCTTCGTTTGATCAGCTTTAAAGTATAAGGACGTAAATGTTTTTAATAAAAAATTGTTCGATTAAAATTCTGTGCAGAACGTAAGTGGCGGAATTTTCAAAATGGCGTCTTTGAGCGCAAGGTTTGTAAACATAAAACAAAAATTTGAAATAACTGATCCATTTTATCAAATATTACTATTTCTGCTTTCAGTAAATGACCTGTTATTGGACTTGCTTTAAATTAAAAATTATATAGTAATAAAAATACACAGATAGATACACAAAAATATCATTTATTTCTGTCAAATTCAAATGACAGATTCCAGATTGGACAGGATTGATGTGTCTGAGCATGTTCATAAAAATAAACGTTCTAAAATAATGTTATTTGCGATTTCTTTACTTCTAGCATTAACAAAATGCATAGCCTCCATATTAAAACGAAAGTGTGTAAGTTGTAGTTTTTAAGTAAGAAAATTTGCGATTTGTAATTCATGAAACCAGAGTATGTATTATTGTAATTGTATACTATAGTTCCCATTTAATTTTATATGATCATTACTATCTATGTCATAATATGGCTTTCGTTATTGGCGTCAAGGATTCTAGTAATGTGCTATGTGCGATTGAAACAGTTACAAGTACACTATGCTCAAGCATGATTTAGAGCTAAACCACTCCAATCCGTATAAACTTACTTCTGTACTTTGATTTACATACTAGGCCTCACACTGGACTTTACCGGGTTTTTCGGTACAATACTGGTATGAAAACTTCTAAGTAATAATAAATTAACCATCGCTAGACCCTAATGAATAAAGGTTCAAATTAGGGTTAATTTTGTGTTGTCTTTTTCAGCTCAAATATGGACAGTAGGCCAAGGTCACCCAAATCTAGACACAAAACTAAAGGGAAACAAGATGAATTAAATACAAGCTATGGAAAAGGGGAGAGTCCTCCTTTACCAGGAATAAATGAAAGACTAGGTAGGTACGCCATTAAGCCTTCATTAAATAATCTATTAAGTTGTTACTTTATATTTTTCTCTTTCAATTAGGGGTTTCAGGTCAAAGTTTCAAATGACAGAACAAATTTTTTTTAAATATTTTGTGAAAATATACATAAAATGCTACCCAAATTTTTTTATTTCATCAAAATATTCTAATTAGATCCAAAGTTATGGAATTTTAAAATCCGAGATCGACGTCAATTATGTAATCAAAATGCTCTATACCAGTCAATGCGTGGCATGGCACCAAAATAAGTGCTTTTCAGTCATATTTGAGTGACGTCATAAGCAGTATTTTCCCTTCAGAATCGCTAGTACTAATTTTAAAACTGAAATCCGCACGTTATTGTCAGCTAAAATTTATTAAAATCGTAATAATTTGAATGATAATATGTCAAATATTTATAATCTGGATGATACCTCAAGAAAGTTTTTTTTATATTTAGTCGAAATTTGGCAATTTTCAGTCATCAAAACAGATAAATCCCATTTTCTACGGGTCTACTTGTCCGATCACGTAGTATCAACAACCATAATAACCACAAAAATGTTATCTATCGTTTGATGGGTTCTATATCAAAATCCCCCGGTAACTAAGGTGCGGATTCACCAATGAATTGAGTCGTAGCAATGGAAAATCTCAGGCCGCGTGACGTCAGAGCGGTATTTTCCCACGAGCGTCTCGTGTAAACAAACGGTTATTTCGCTTACATTTCGATAATTTTTTAGCCTGAATCTTTGCAGATATTGAGATTGATATTAAACTATTGCAATACAATTGCTAGTAATGCATTTACATATAATAATAATTTAGAATCGTAGATTGAAGTGGGCTATATTTCAGCCGCTGGCTGTCCGATTTCTCGCTGAAGTCACGTGACCTGAAACCCCTATTTCAATTGAAAAGAATAAATGGAATACTAGATAGTTACACCTTTAAAAAAAAAAATAATTAAATAATCTATATGTAAGCTTAGTTAGAGTAATAGAAAACAACACAGCACTGAAACTACCTTATTACGTGTTCAAAATGATTTACTAAACGAAATGGATAAGAAACAAACATCAGTACTAGTCCCGCTTTGTCTGCGATATCACTTCGGTGGAAGCGGACGTAAAATACAACTAACAACAACTAGTCCTGCTGGATGTAAGCGCTGCGTTTAACATGATAAACCACCAAATTCTTTTTGAAAGATTGCAGAACAACTTTGGTGTAAGTGGACTAGCCCTTACATGGTTCCAGTCATACTTTGAAAACCGTACCCAGACAGTTGTTATCAAAGGTTCCCCATCCAACTCAATGGTCTTAAAGTATGGCGTGCCACAGAGTTCCATTTTTGGTCCTTTATTATTTACTACATACACAACATCTTTAGGAAATGTCATTCGTAAAAACCTTTCTAACTACCAACTGTACGCAGACGACACTCAAATTTATATAGCTTTTGAGTCTTCTTCTGAACCATCTGAGATATGCAAACTTGAGGCCTGTTTATCAGATATTCGTAAATTGATGGACTCAAATTTATTAAAACTCAACGATGACAAAACAGGCAGCAGGCAGCAAGTACTAAAATCTAAAAGAGAAAACTATAAAATTGGCAATATCTCTATTACACCAACAGATTCTGTAAAAAATCTTGGTGTTTATTTTGACTCTAATCTGGACATGAATAGACAAATTTCAGCCATGTGTAAAAGTATTAATTATCAGATTTATAATATTTGAAAAATTAGATCTTTCATTGATAGTGACACAACTAAAATACTGGAAAACAGTAAACACAATGGTTACATCAAGACTTGACTACTGTAATTCACTTTTGTACAATCTACCTGAAAATAAAATTAAACGACTTCAGAAACTTCAAAATAAAGCAGCCTGGATCATAACAAAGATTAAACCAAATGAACATATGACGCCAATTCTGAAAGATCTCCATTGGCTTCCAGTATCAGTTTTAAAATGCTGTCTATTATGTATTCTGCTCTAAATAACGATTCTTCACCTCAATGCCTTAGAAACACCAATAAACCTTGCAGAAAACTTTGATGACAATCAGACAACCTCTTAATTAAGCCTTTTTCAAAAACCAACTCCGGTGATAGATCTTTCGCAGTCGGTGCTCCGAAGTTATAGAATTAAATATCAAACAAAACCAAAAGCGCAAATTCTATTAAACATTGTAAAAAGTATCTTAAAACTGAACTTTTTAATCAAATATACGACTGATTGAATACGGTTCTAGCTGTTTTTGTGTCAGACTTTTACCATGTGTATTATATAATGTTCTCTGTTTTTTTGTTTATGTCTTTTTTATGAATTAATGTGTTGTGATCGTTATAATTTTATATTAGTTGTACTTATGTAAAGTGCCTGTGAGCAGCTCGCTGAGTTGAATTGTAGGCACTATATATAAATTAACTATTATTATTACTCAAATCTCTAAACTTGTAGATAGAAGTATTGTTTACAAAATGATAAACCATGTGTTTCAGTCCATTTTTTAATGATGGAAACGATGGTGTTTGTAGACAGATTATTTTCCTGTAACCATTTAAATGAAAAATGTCATATCTTAGTTTGAAATGACTAAAGTATTGTGTTTACAACACTATAAACTCTATTCCATTCTTTTTAATTCAGTTTTACTACATTGAGATGTTTTCATAATTTAAGGTCAACTCCGTCCATCAAGAGAATTATTAGAATATTATCGTAAAAAGATAGCTGAGTATGATGATGAGCATGATCAGCTTGTGTGTAAATTAGAAGAATATAGAGTCACATATGAAGATCAGGTAATCTCTTGAATAGGCATTTGTATTATTATTATATGCCCAAATTGAACCTCATTCAAGGGTCCTGATGTCCCGTGACAATCTGCGCTGTTTTGATGTAGATCCTGATAATTTTTTGGCCAGGTTTGTCAATATGGATGAGACCAGTTTCGAAAGAATGGAAAAGGAACTAGCTGGCAATCATTTTCCTGGTAATGATGACATCATGTCAGCTGTGAATGACTTTTTTAGGGTGGCTTAAGAAAATTATTTCCCGGCCCTTGCAACAGCGCCGACATAAATGGAAACCATCGACTGTGTACAGGTCATTCGTAGAAAGGCTTATTCAAATGCTTGTTCAGTCAATCCTGTATTAAGCAAATAGTCAAGTCAAGGGAACTGACAAAAACGATTGCAAACTTTATACAGCATTTCATTGTATTTTAAAATTAAAAGCATGTGAAGTTAAGAAGAGAAATGCTGGTCATTGGTCACCAATATGGCTCTGAAAAATACACAAGTTGGAAGCTCATAGGCCGGTCACGATTTCAGTGTATCTTGAGTCAGTTTTTTAAATGAATTTAACACAACTTGTTAAATACAATGTGACATTTATATAGTGATGATGAATGGCAAAACTCAGGTATAGGCTTGTGAGATATATGAATCGGTGGCGTAATTGGTGATTTTTGTGTCTTGGGTGGTGAGTTAATACCACTCAATACCAGGATTTACTGTATAACTATTTGTTATTTTAGCATCATCTACAGTGGGAATTACGCCAAAGAGAAGAAGAAATTGTAGAGTTACAAAAAGCATTAAGTGATATGCAGATATATTTATTTCAAGAAAGGGAACATGTTTTAAGATTATATGCTGAGAATGATAGATTGAAGGTTGGTTTTAAGTGATTTTGATCGTCCCATTTAAGTACCCTATGATCCTCTTTACCTTCCTCCATTAATTAATCTCTTAGCCTAAAACAGAAAGATAAAAAGTGAAATTATGAACATTATACAGTAAAATTTGCATAAGTCGAGCGAAGATCCAAGTTAGCCGAAGACCGAAATTTGATATTAGCTCGATTGGAAATAAACTGCAAGAGCCAGATAATAATTGATTCAAAGGCACATTTCAAGCTTTTGTTCGTATGTGCGAGTAGATAACCAGTTTTGGTGCGAGTAGATAACTTCCGTTTTGGTGCGAGTAGATAACTTCCGTTTTGTCGCCATCTTTTAATAAGAAAAATGTGCAAGATCAAAGGGTCCAAACGATTTTATCCAAGTTGAGCAAAGATCCGACTTATACAAATCCGACTTATGCGAAGTTTACAGTATATTTCTTTCAATCAGTCTAGGCAAAGTCCTTTTTATTTAGATAAGTTAAAAATTCTTTTTTTTTATAGATTCGAGAATTAGAAGATAAGAAAAAGATACAACAGCTGTTAGCTTTAGGTGGTGGTGGAGCAGGAGATAGTGAAATAACTTATTTTATTAAAGAACCTCCAGCTAAAGCCATCATTCCTCAAAAAATACCCAGAAAAAATAATCATATTAGAGAAGAAAGCAAATCAGCCAAAAGTAAGTTTGTTATTTTAGTTAAAGTATTAAAGTTAAATCATCTGTTTTTCTGAGGAATATGTTCAAAAAGCATTGGATTTAACATGAAAGTGCCCCCTGATCACTTTTATTGTATTTTGACAGAATCCAGTAAATCTCATCTACCATTAAATGACAGACGCCAGTCTATGTCACCTGAACCAGAGAAACGATATCAACATGATAATGAGATGCTAACTTTACAAATAGAATCATTACAATCACAGCTTAGTGAACAAACAAAATTAGCTAAAGAACAATATGAAGCTTTATTAGAAGACAGAAGAGTCAAAGAAGAAGAACATGAAACTAGAAAACAGAGAGATGAAGAAAAAATCAGATTACTGACAGAAAAGTGAGTAACTCGGTGTAATTCCATTATAAACATGGCTTCAGTTACATTCTTAGTTTAATACGTAGCTATAACAGTCAACCATACTGCGCAAGACAATATGAAAGATACTTTTATTTGAAGTTTGCTAAATACTTTTGTTGTGGGGAGGGAGGGGGGTAGAAAGACATCTCAGCACTTTGTGAGCAAGATCTCTTTCCACACAGTTACATGATTTGATCTCCATGTAGATGAGTGGGCACGTAGCCACGGGGGGGGGGGGGGGCTGGCTATGGGCAATAAGCCCCTCCCCCCTTAAATATTTCGCCAACAATAATGATTTCTTAGGAGCGTTCTTAGCCGGCCATATCCTCAGCCCCTCCAAAAAATTCCGTAGCCCCACCAAATTTTATGAGCTGGCTACGGACCCGTAGATGAGTGTCAGGTCCTTGTATCTTTCAACAAAACACTTTATCCCAATATTCCACTATACCAAGCTGCACATGTATATTGAGTTGGATAGGCAAGAATATCACTAAATGCTCTGTATGCCACAGTGAAAAGACCTATTCGGACAGGCAGGAACATCACTAAATGCTCTGTGTTCGGAGACGGGGGTTAATGAAATGGAAGTCAATCAGCTAATTACATTACTTTAACAGTTAACTTGGTTTTTCACATATAGTGTTGTATATTTGTGCCAGATGTCTATTTATCATCATTAAAATATTAATTGGATGTATTATAATTACAGGTTACATAAAACACAAGATTTATTATATGTTAGTACTAAAGATTTCTTAGATCAGAGATATCAAGGCCGAGAAGTAGAAAGACAGTGGATGGCAGAAAAAGATAAATATCTACGTGAATTAGATGTTTGTAAACAAAAGATGAATATAAGTAAAGATACTATGCTAAACGTAGGAGATAAAGCTTATTGTGAAGATAATGGTACCAAGGCTGAAGAATTCAAGGTAATTAGATAATTCTCACTAACTGCTCCACAAAACATTGAATAAACAGTATAGTATATCAATATACTATATTCAAACTGCAATTAGTATACTAGAAAACATCTCTTCCACTGTGACAATGGTACCAGGTGTTCCAAAAATAATAAAAAAGAATTGGATAATTACTTAGATCAAGCACTGAATAAGGCTTTATTCAAAGGTACTTAAATGTATCAGCTGACAAGTTGATTGTCTTCTTAATTTAAATCAACTTTTTTTAATTGAGCCGAAAGTTGATTAATTTATGAAACCATGGTGTCCAGATCATTGGTTTACAGGTCATCTTTTACAAATATAGAACGGCTGATTTGAGGACATGACCAAGATTAGAAAGCATTACTGGTAGATGCATGTCAAGCAAATTTATCTGTAATATCACACTTTTGTTATGGAATTTGAATTACATAATGACACTGGAGATTTTTTTTGATTTATATTATATTTTTAATATTACAGGCATTAGAATATCAGTTGACACAATCACAGAAATTATGTGATAATTACAGAGAACAAGTTATACAATTAGAAGATGAGTTATCTCGATTAAGAGAAGAAGGGGACGTAACTAGAGAGATATTTAAGGTATAATTTACACTTTGCAATGTTATAAAAATGCACTTGTTGCATTATTTTATGTTATATTCAAGTACATAGATGTGTTGTAAACTTGTGAACATCTCTTCATGTGAAATGTCTAGACAAACTTAATGACCGTGTGACTTTAAATCCCATTAATATATATATGATACAGAACAAAGTTAACTATGAAAACATTGTAGGATTGTTCATACAGGCCTACAGATTATGATTACGATTTGAATATGCAAGCTTATACACATGATACAGGTCAAAGTTATATGTCTATTTGGGGAGCCACAGTCACTCAGTAAGTAGGACGCTGGTTCACTAACCAGACGGTCCCATGTTTGATCCTGGTATTGGCCGAGAAAGAACTTTTGCAACTTTTCAGCATGATTTCCATGGGGCCTGACAAGGAACAATGCCTATTCCTTCAAATTGGACCCAAAAAAAACGAAGATCCATGTACATGTTAGTATTAATGCCAAAGAGCACTTGACAGTTGGAATGCCCATCTTCCTTAGTCCAGTTGGTGCAGAAAAGTAGGAAATTGTGTTTCTATAAATAGTGTTTTGATTTGTTAACTTCAGGATCGCAGTGGAAAGATGACTCAGCGTTTACAGTTGATGAACTCCAGATATGAAGATTTAGAGAAGCGTCGTAATCTAGAAGTTGAAGGATTTAAAACTGATATTAAAAATTTGAGAGGTAGATTGAAAGATGTAGAAAGACAGTTATATAAGGTAGGTTGGAAACAACATCAGATTTTACACTTGTATGTTTTCTACTTTATCAGGTTGACCATTTAAAGTTTGATAATTTTACTCTGGTTAGAAAGTGAAACATAATTTACATTTTCAATTCTCAAATTTGGCTAGATCCACAGTAGCTCAGTAAGTCCGGCACTAGCTCACTAGCCAGGAGGTCCCAGGTTCGAACCCGGTGTCGATCTAGAAAGTTCCCTGTGAGTACTGGTAGAATAAGGCAAGGAAAATATAATATAGCAAGAAAGATGACATGGGACAACTCTCACTTGTTTATAATACACAAGCACAACATTAGAGTAGGGATGTTACATATGAAATGAAACTTAGGAACAGGAAGACATTAAGATTACTTTACTTTACAAAAACTTACTTTGTTTTTCTAGGTTACTCTTGGTTTTGCAGAAGATATGGACATTAAAAGACCAGATGACCTAGACATGCAAATATTAAAGAATGTCCGGGCCACTGCTGGAAGATCTAAGAAAATGTTTGGGGAATTGAAAAACTTGAAATCTAAAATATATGGTCTTGAAACTGACTTAAAGCATTTATAATATAACATACTACATATTGTGACTAACTGTGATATCTGTTTTATTATCCAAATGTTTCATGATACTTGAAACATTAAGGTTGTTAAATGTGAAGGATGTGGCGCATCAATATAGGTATTGTAATAAGAACTTATAGATTTATATCAATAAATAGAAACGAAGCTGATCAGATTAAATAAAAACAATACTGATAATCAAGGAAAACCCTGTTACCAATTGTGAAGGGTGGGACGATTTACCCAATTCTACCCAATATCACCCCAATACCACCTCAATATCACCACATACTACCCAATACTACAACATAATGATGCAAAATAGACATATCGTTTGATTTTTTTCAAAAATAGAGAGTTATATCGCGGGATATGTACTTCACATGCGATACCGATATCTGGCTGTTCCATTTGCCTCCCCCTACCACCCCAAAAAAGCCAATAATAACCCAATACTACCAAATACTTATCAAATACTACCCAATATGATCAAATAACAAACTAATATTGTCAAATAACAGCATATTAGTATAATTACTATTACAAATATTCAATATTTTGCAGAAAATTTAAATTTTTACACAGTTATCTCCCTTTACAACCGGTAAATAGATTTTAGATTGCTACTCTGATTAATCATCTTCTTTGGCTTTGCAATTGGTTTCCAAGACGACAAACTTAAAATAAGAAAAACAGGTATGACGATATACCATATTTTATTCCCAAACTGACCCATCTGTCTCTTACCACTTGATAGGGTCGTCTGTCAAACAAGGTGCGTTTTCTCAGGTCCCCCGGTTTCATCTCACTGTTAAACATCCCTTCCCGCAAGCGAGTTAATGAAATAATATTGAACTATATGTTAGTCACATCTCAGTTCATCAAAACTATCATTTGTGGCCTGCTACAGCTCTGTCGGTTTCTTTGATAATATAAATAAAACAGAACTTGATTACCCAATCATCAATCTTAACACCGTTGATTAATTGTTAAGTCGGGTTGAATGTATATACGAGTAGAGCATTACACATTGTGGGAGGAAGCTGGAGACTATGTCTATTCATTTAGGTGATAATGATATCGCCGCGACATCGTCACCTGTGGGTATATATAATAACCTGTTTTCCTTATTTTAACTTCGTCGTCTTGGAAACAAATTGCAAAGAACAACAAGATGATTAATTTGAGTAGCAATCTAAAATCTATTTGTCAGTTGTAAAGGGAGATAACTGCATAAATATTTCAATTTTCTGTAATTATCGAATAATCGTTGTAATTATTATACCGATGTGCTGCTAATTGACGATATTAGGTTTGTATTTTATAATATTGGGTAGTATTTGATAAGTATTTGGTAGTATTGGGTTTTTATTTGCTTGATTTGGGTGATATAGGGAGGCAATTGAAACAGCCAGACATCGATAATCACATTTGAAGTACATTTCCCACGATATATCTCACTATTTTTGAAAAAGTTCAAGTAATATGCTCATTTGGCACCATTATGTTGTAGTATTGGGTAGTATGTGGTGATATTGGAGTGGTATTGGGTAGTATTGGGTAATTTGTCCCGCCCGAATTGTGAAACCAGGACATCAACCCTTTTGACTAAGTCAACCATTTATCATAAACATGTATCATAATTTTCATATTGTAAACTTTTTAATGTATATGTAGCTACATAGTTGTGTGATATGAGAATAAATATTTAAATTATTGAATGATCTTTTCCATGGCATTATTGATCTTTAATCTCTAATGTATCATTAAATCTGTGAACTCAGTTAAAAGATAATTTTTATTCTGGCTTGGTGATGTGCACTAGCATTAAATTTCATCATATCTCAAAATTTTATTAGTCAACCTCATACAAAATCTGGGGCAAACATATGGCCGTTTCTGTTGTTTGTCTGTAGTGAAAAGCGATCAGACCAAAGAATTACGGTATACCAGAATTAACATTAAAAGCAATATGGAAATTAATGGTGGTCTGCATCCTAGTGACGGTGTTGATAATTAGAGTAATCTCCCTTTTACTGTCGTATCGGACTGTAATAAATAAAATAAAACCAAGTATGAACAATCCAAACCATTAGACAAAATTCGAAGTCCTAAAAAAAACGGTATAGGCAAAATATTGTAATCAGCAAATGGACTGTTCACCGTGTATAAAATACACGACAAACAGTGGTAACAGGTGTCTGGAAGAGTAAACTTACCCTGCCTGCCCGCCCGCCATAGCTGCATCCAAACTATACTCTTCAAAAAAGTAGGGGATATTGAAATGCAAATACCTATGCAGGTTGCGATATGATAAATAGTTATGGACATTTGACATGCTTTGAGAGTATGTTCACAGATGAAGAACTTATCACCTCAACAGAACCACTGAGCTGCACATGCGGCACACAATAGCACCATACACGCGGGAGGGGTTCATTGTCAAATTTGACACTTCAAGGAAGGGTTGATGAAAACTGCCGCGTGCTGGTTTATCTATCCATGTTTGCTTTCCTATCGGTTCTTGCATAAGATTTACTGTTTAGCGTATCTTTGCTTTAGTGTGTTACGTCAACCGACAACACTGCACGGCCCACTGCAAGGGGAGTGGGTCAGATTGTCCCAAATCGTGATTGGACGGTTGATTAGGAGAATGCCACGACGAATTGCTAACTTTCTGAGGATTGGTGGAGCAAATTACTCATTAAGACAAAAATCAAAAACGTCCATTTTCACTTTTGACGGTGTATCTCTTTGAGAGTGAAATGGGTCCGTCATATAAGCCGCCCATATGAACTGTTTATGTTCATGAGTAGGCAATTGGCCTGCATACACTGGTTACCTCTAATAAAAACAGCAGTGCATTTCCGCAGTTTTGTATTGTTTCTGAATATCCCCTACTTTTTTTGAAGAGTAAATCTCGGTAAAATAGCGTGATTGGCCAATAGACTATCGGTATGCAAAATTCACGTGATGAACAGTGTTAACTATGTAGTAGACATAATCAGGGAGATAGTATACGCGTCAATTAAATATATCTAGAGTAATAGCCGAGAGAGACGTGTTATATTTACCAATCACGTCAATATGACGGCCATAAAACTCTTTAAAGGTTTTTATAAGTTTAGTGCGCAAGTATCCCTGTAGTTGAAGCTTAGATGACTAATGCCTCGATCTACTTAAAAAATCAGAATAAAAGGAACAAGCTCTCGCGTAACGATTTAGCTGAGACACAAACACTCCATAACTAAGCTGGTGATATTGGAATGTTACTACTAATAAATGGAAAGTTAACAATCGGAAGGAAGCGTAATTGTCACTGTCAGTAGTGTTTTTAATTTCGAGCTCATCAGGATATGTGAATGCTACATAATCACTAAATTTGGGATTATTCAGTGATAGAACATCATCGATATATCGTTTTAATAAGTGAAATTAAAATGTCTGACTAATCGTTTATTTGTTTTCACGAGTGCCTGTATGTAATCGACTTCGTAGGAATAGAGAAACAAATCAGCAAGCAAAGGTGCACAGTTGGTGCCCATGGGGATACCTACCACTTGCTGATATATTTCCCTTCCAAATTCAACAAAGATATTATCAATTAAAAAATCCAAAATCTGAATTATCTTGTTGGCGGCGAATAAACCTTGGCACAATGAATGGAAATGCCGTTGCCCAAGCAATATTAGAACTGTTCAAGTATATTTCACTAGATCTGAGTTTTATACTTCCTGGATAAGCAGATATTTTCTTCTGGGGTAAGGGTTCAGAGTGCTACATACATTTATGATGGATTTTGAAGAGACATTTTACCGGTAGTAATTAATATCCCAGTGGATTCGGTTGAAATGTTTCCTAACAATTGAATCAATGCTCATTTGGTAATGTACAATATAGGTTTAATAGAAGTACTCTACTTGGATTGGCTACTCGAGATAGCTTTGTATTTTACTTAAATATGTAGATTATTAACATCTCCATCCTTTAATTTCCATTCACTATTAGTAGTATCATGTCCCAGTGTGTATATTTCTCAGGTTCTACATTATGCATGCATATTTTCTTGAGGCATTCTTGGTTGAAATCGTTGACATCAAACTGCATTTTTAAGTAGTTTTAAAGTCATAGATCATGGGTATAGCATGTCTATTTCAATGACCTATCGAACTAACAAATAACAAAAGAACACTAGGTTGGACTATATTGTTTTATTTTTTGGCAATTTCACATACATCACCCTAACTAGAGAATTAGTTAGGCTACTTCCCATGTGAATTGTTATCCAGGGCAGTTATGTTGAAATCCACACAATTTATGTCATTAATTATATTATATTAATTTATTTTAAGTATTTACAAGCTGAGTAACAAAAACAAACAAAACACAATGACAAATAAAACTTTAGAGTAAAAAAAAGGTATTGTTTATTTAATGAGCAGTGATAGAGACATCAATTAGATCTGTATTCGATTAATTTACATACAGATACTAAAAATAAATAAATTGAAATGAATAATATTTTCTGAACATAAAACATTGCATCCCAATAAATCAACCATACTTATCATGAACTGTATTTTTGGATCTTCAAATACTTAAATATAATATTGAAAATTCACGTTGGTATTTTTCATGAATTAAAAATAATTCCCATATATATGCCAATTTCTTTCTTTATTCTAAATACTTACTCATTATTCAAGATATTGGAGATACAAGTTCAGTGTTCTTACATGTGAAATCCAAATTTGCCATTCATTCATAACTTCATCTTTCAAACAGTATTTACAAACTTTATATTTTTATTTTTTCTCTCACTCATGGCATTTAAACATAAATATACATTACTGTTTTAGTCTGATCAAGATTTTTGGCGCATTCAAAATTCAAACCTAATATTGGTACCGGTATTCAGATGCTCTATCTGTGTGTCTATTCTTTAATTCATTGAATCGAAGGACATCTAATAAACTATTACACAAATCAGTGAAGGCATTATATTTTGATCAAACCGAATCGAATATAACATAAATCTTTAGTTGATTCTTAGAATCAGTCTTTCACACATCCCTTCACAAACACAACAAAAAAAAATATGATAAATGCTAGAACAACAAAAAAAATATATATATAACTTCAAATAATTTAATAATTTGCTTTTGAATGTCTTTAGCACTAAATCTTAATTCAATAATGTTTTGCTACTAACTTTTACAGAAACCTAATTTACTGCAAACACTCTCATTCTAACTGATCAAAGTCCTACTATAGTTTCTGTAATTTTTTTTTTATCATATTGTTAGAATGGTTACATTGTGTGTATTTCAACTGCCCTGTTTTGTTTTTAACCAGGTGACTTAAACTTTTTTTTAAATAAACAACAACAAGGTTTTGCAACAAGTGAAAAATAATTAATTTTAAGAAATAATTGAACATTTAAACAGGTGTGAACCTTGATCTTTAAAAAGGATTAAATTGGAAACTAATTATAAAATAATTTTGAGTTGAACTAATACATATTCAGGTCATTTAATTTTAAACTTCAAAAAACATGATCTAAAATATTTCATCCTATTAATTAAAGCACACTCAAATTTTGTATAAAATTTATCTATGTTAATAAAGTTAAAGCAGGTTGGTAAGAAACAAAGTGACATTATTGTAACAAGTGACCAAATTAAATAATTCACTTTCAGTTTTTTTAATCTATAAAACAGCATTATAAAAAATCAGTTGAAAAACTAGTTCTAACTTCATTGAAAATTTTGTGTTAACGCTAGTGTGCATAGACATTACCATTGCATCCGCAGCATCTAACAAAGGGACTTTTCACTAATGGAGAGCTTATCTAAGGGAACTAACTTCTATCTGACAACAATATGAAAGCAGGGATATTTTATTGCCTAGTCTATCTATCAGTATTTAATTTATGGATTATGTTTGAATAAAAAATAACAAATTAATGAGAATTATATAATTTTGGTTTTGTATTTTCAATAAAATTTGAAAAGGCATGGAAATCTACAACAAGTACACATCAATACACGAGATACAATAGTTCATAGGTCAAAGGTAACAAGTCACTTTAGGTTAAAGTTAAAAAGTGACAATGTATTCAAAGTTCTATTTATAAATGACATCTAACTAGCTAGACTACATTCCTTAATAAACTATGAAAAGTCTTCATTTTTTAAATTAAATTTAATTAAATTAGCAACAAACTGAAAGACATAGGTGACCAATCAATAATTAATTTATTTTTCTAATACACATTTTCATTCATGAGAAAAAAGAACAGGTTTCTAACTGTAGGCCTATTACTCAATCTAGTTTTATCAAAACAATCCAGTTTAATTCAATTATAAATAAAGTTTTATTTCATTTTAAGAAAAAAAAAAGTTCTTGCATAAATACCAATATTTATATCTGATAACTTAAACTACTTTATATTACAATTACTAACAGAGAAATACATGCACCAAATATTAATATGGTATGGAACAAAGATGTTCAAAGGGAGATAACTCTGGTCCCATAACAATTCAAGGTCTTGTATTACAAGTCCTCCTTTGATTATCTATTTTCACAATCCACTAATTACTGACCACTGTTTGAATATTTACTGTTTAGAGTAGATATAATCCACACTGTCATTATGTATAGTCAAATATTAACAAATATCCTATATACATATCATAAATATCCATCCATGTGATAGAGTTACTATAGTATTATTGACTAGGAGTTATTCATGTTATTCCACAGCAAAATTATCTAGATAATCCATATACGCGATTTTATCCATCATAGTCCACACTATATTCACTGGTGTTTATTAATTATATATCACGAATGTTTAGTTTGATCCATCTCAAAGGTTTTTTTTCCATTTTATGGACACAGAATGAAAAATCCTAAACTTCTGTTCCTGCTGGCAGATTGCCACGAAGTTTTAGCGGAGAACCCTTGGATTTTCCTGGACTCACAGCTTTGGTTAATCCACTGACTTTAGTAATGGAGGCTCCCTTGGTCGTAGATTTCACAGAAGCGGAATTATTAAATGGAACAGCCATAGAGTCGTCTCTACTACCGGAACTTCCTACACTTCCTGATACCTGGTAATAATAATAAAATATATTAGAGACAAAAAAAAAAATCTACATATCCACCAATCTAAAAATGCATATAGAGATAAACACTCTTTGAATTTAAGGCAAAATAAGCATTTGGACTATACATAACATTATGAAATAAATTAAACATTTCACAGCAAGCCAAGTACAAAGAATCGTTGCATTAGATTAAATATTTTTAAAATACAGATGTGATGTCATACTTTGATGTTGGCATACCATTCTTTCAAATAATGGTATGGGCAACGTGCCAATCGTACATTATTTATATTAGATGGAATATTGAACTTGCGTGACAATTTCAATGAAATGCATGTGCGGGATAGTGTCTGTATTTTAAGTTGTTTAATGGTCTTGTGGAATTTTTGTGTAATATATTGTCCTCGTGTAATATCAATATATTAGCTAATGTCTTACACACGACCATTAACCACACTTTAGGCACTGTTCTGGTTTATTTGAAAGCTGTTTCAATATGCCTGGGGTAAGTTTGGATGTCATATTGATTTTGTACTTACCACTCCACTGTCGAGAGATGCTCCACTGCTACCTCGTTTCATCCCACGGTCTAAAAATATACAAAAATATCAATTATATATCTTTAATACACAAAACAATTTATATTAAGGCATGCATAACAGAAGATTCAAACGTTTCTTTTATAAATAATCTCATGGTTTTTGAATCATGAATAAATGAAATGTGGCCTACAATATATTTATGATGATTTCTACAGGTTTAGTTCAGTCATTTTTGGGGGTTAAAAAGATAACTAATTAACCCATAAATAATGAGATGTTTTGTGATAGAATTGTTGACACTTATTGGCTTCCATAAATACATATCAGCCTACTGATACAGCCTTGCCGATCTCATCAGGATTTTCCCAAATTAAAGTTTAGCTCATCAAGTAATTTGTAGCATATTTTGACACCTAGAGTTTTACAACATGTAGACTGTAGATGTAGACTTTCTAGAAATAAGCTGGCTATATTGACTAACTACTACATATGACAACAATGTTGATAAACATAAACCTGAGCTAGCTATAGTTATCCTTATAAACATTAAGCTGACATGGTCTCTAACAGAAATAAAGGGGTGATAAACATGTGCATCACATAGGTCGACAGCTGAGAAAATACTGTACACAATCTGTGCTATTGTGTCTATTTAAAATTTACTGGGATTTACAATATAAAATGTCGCTATATGGACTGACAACAAGTGACAACAATGAGCGTATGTTGAATGATAGGAACATATTTAAGCATCCATGCAACATATGAACACTTTAAAAATTCAGAACAAAATTTAGGTGGAGGTAACATTAAAAGAAATCATAGCACAAAAAAGGATTTCATAACTTTGAAATTAAGAGCAAAATTGAATGAATAAATTAGGCAAATATGCACATAAAATAAAACAATTAGCATAGAGTAGTTGTGGAATGAAATACTGATAAATGCGTTTCAAAAAATATAAATAACATAATTGGAAGGGGATGAATTTCTAAAGCATTGTTTTGGGGTTTGCAAAAATATCAAATATTTCCAAGACAGCCACCGAACTAAAAACAAAATATGATCTTTACCTTAGATAATCTGTCTAAAATATTTTGATCAATTTAATCGAAAAAAAAAGATTATCTCAAAATGAATTTAAATATAAAGTGATCATCAAAATAATTGTAAGCAAAATATTATAATTTGAAACAAATATTTTGTGTGATATTATCATGGATAACGGTATCGTCAAGTTGAAATATATATTTAAATAAAATAAAACATAATAATCAACAAAAGAAAATTTGCATCACAACTCCACAGTAATACTTTAGATGACATGAATTAGCTCCCTTGACACCATGATATGAAACAGAGGTAAACGACTATGAAGCAATCAAGTGATAACATGGTTTCTCAGATGACATATGAGATGGTAACATGCTACTAACAAAATCTAGTTATTTTCGATTAGCCAATGAATAGGTAGCATGAAAAAATAAATATATGTCATATGGTGATATGATCTAGTTTTCAATATAATTATAAACTATTTTCTCTTTTAAGATCAAGTTTATAAATTTGTTGATTACTATGGTAAACAATAATTACTTGTGGAGTGATGATAAATAAACGGTCATGCAGCATGCTCATGCATACCTGGTGACAGTTCATTGAGAGAGTTGGATAGAGAAGATTTCTTCAAGCCACATTCAGGAGCAGACAATCTATTAACAGAACTGTCATTAGGGTTCGCGAGTTCATACATGTGAACACGGGAATCGTCATTTGCGTAGTGCTTGTCCAGAGTATTATGGGCTTTACGGTGACGCTGCAACTCTTCTTCTATTCGTAATTGTTCCATACCATTTGTCTATAGAAAATAAAATGAAGGATTGATATACATGATAAATGGAAGATAAAAAGATATATGAACTACACCCAAATTGGGATTATTATTAAAAAATTGCAAAGAAATATTTCCAAATGGTTTATTTTAGATGTCTTTATATAACCTTGAAAGAACCATTTTGATATTACCTTCACAATATTTTATGAGAGAGAGAGAGAGAGAGAGATGGGTTTAATGTCCACTTGACACAAGTCCACTTGACACAAACTAAGTCATTTCGCAGCCTGAAGTTTTCTTCTGATAAGATTCGATATTTTGTGGTTTCTGAAGTCCACATGAACCAGAGAGAGAGAGAGAGAGAGAGAGAGAGAGAGAGAGAAAGGGTTTAGGTCCATCAACACTCGGGACATATGGTTCAATTTTATTTCAATAATTCGCTTGCACGTAGGGGTTTTTAGCTGTGGGAGGAAACCGGAGGACCCGGAGAAAACCCACGAGATTGGAACAGGCGACCCTACTCCTTGTCACGTACAACTGGTACAACTGGGGAATCGAAACCACGCCAGTTGACTGAATACAGACCTTATGATACAACGCACACACGCTAACCATTCAGCTTCAGCCATCCAACCCCACCCTACCCAAATATTTTATGCAGATGAAAGAATAATTTCTGTTTACTTTGCTGGGTTGAAGATCTAATCATATATACTTTCAACATACTGTATCTCAAGATAACCTATTCTTATAAACTAACAGATGACTTACCTCTAGAATAGATTCTTTTAGATCTTCAACAAATTTTTGTCGATCATGATCATTTCTGGCATTAAATGTCATTAAAACTTTCCCATCTAAATTATTAGTTAGCTGGATGCCAAACTGATAATCTATATAAAAAAAATTTGAAAATTCATTAGTTTCTTTACTTCTTATAAATGCGGAAAAATTCAAATTTAAAAAACTTTCTATATTTAAGCGAAAATCAGTATTTTGGTAAATGTAGTGATGGATAACAAAGACAATGTCATGTGACAATATCAATTAAATAATCTGAGTTCTAATACAGATGTAAAAAAAATCTGTTAACTATGCAACGTCCCAACTATTAAATAACAAGTGTTATTAAGTGTTCTTGAAGAAAAAAAGCACACTCTCTCTGGTGCATCACTATTACTTGATGATTTAAACTACTTACGTGCTGTTTCAAATAAGAAAACTTGCATGCCATATAAGGATAATGATGTTCTAAAACTGTAGGTTATTCCTATTTTCTTTTTACTGAAGATCTTCGTTACCTGATAATACATAGAAACAATATTACACACAATTTACAATAAGATTAACTTATAAAAATACTAAAATAGTGCCCCATTAAAAAAAAAATCGTGAATCGGACTAAAAATATAATGAAATAGGACACAGAAAAGATAGTTCATCCACAGTATTCAAATCAAAAGCTCCTTGAACTTTACAATAAAAATTGGAAATTTTGCACAATAATTATAGCTATTTTTTAAGAATATATAAATACAATCATATAAAAAAGCAATGTAAATTTGATGTCATTGCCTTATTCTCACACTATCACTACATGATATGAGCTTAAATGGACAAGAGATAACGTCTATTATTGTCAACACATTTACAATATAATACCTACCAGTAATTGATCGTTAAATAAGAAAACTTCTCGTTGATGTAAACCAATTTTTTCTTTCTTACAGGGGTCATGAACTTCATAAAGTCGACAATAACAAACCAGTCTTCTGTGAGATAAAGCCAGTTGCTGAAAGATTAAAATATGTGAAATGAAATGAGGTGTGACATTCTACTTTTCGGGATTAAAATAATATTAATGATTGCTGAATTTATTTATAAGCAACTTGGAGACTTGATGCTTAAAATCAGATTGAAATCACTAATCTCTGGGATCCTTGCAGAGGTTTGCTAATTTCTGAAAATCATGAACCTTTAAAGTAATTTGATTTCATCAACTCTTGTTTCACAATCTTGATCGCAAAAGTTGAAGATCAGACAATTGGCTACCATATTGAAAATGCTCACAACAAGTAAAGGAAATTTCTGATTTTTTATATTAAAAAAGCTGTGGTGATTGATGACCTATCTTGAAATAATCATGAAAATAGAAACTGGCTGTATAAGATAGTCTAGTTATATATCATGTTAGATTACAATTTGTTTATTTTACATCTAGCTTCATCAGTAATAGGTCTACACCCCCCTCCTTACTATTTCTCTAATACTAATATTTACTTTCAATTTCAACCCAGCAGCTCAGCTGTAAGACCAGCTGTTGTTCTCTTGTCAAATGCCATGTGTAACATATGTCCATCAAGAAGAGCAAGACAATAGAAATGGTAGAAAGGTAGACAAAAAAACAAAAAAAAAATAATGAGAACAGAAGTAACAGGGTGGGGTACAGACGGACATTGATTCCAGTTATTGTGGAATATAATATTGCCATACTCAAACAGACAATAACAAAAAAGAGTATGTGTTGGTCAATACCATCATGTACTTTAAAGGAATTATTAGTTACCCAAATTGTCTATGATAAAAATATAGCTTTACAATTCATACTTACAGGCTTTTTACCCACAATACTTTGTTCTACTTTGATAACCTGGGTGACTTGGTCTACTCCAGCCTTGAATTCCTGACTTTTAACTCGTTCATATATACCTACTAACACATCACGATCTACGTCATCACCACCGTCTATACCTAGAAATATAATCAGATTGATATTCATAAGTGCTTTCAACGAATAGGATGATATTTTGATATAGTTATAGCAAAAAATAATGTATAAGACATAGACATCTTGGAGGTGTTCTTTCGGAGGTCAGGGATTGAAAGTTCTTTGTAATCCACACTGGATGGCAAGATCAGAAAACTGAGGTTAGGAAGAGCATGGCAATATTTTGGTAGGAGATAGGGAATTTTTTTAAAAGCTGGCTTAAAAAATCAAAATAGATCCCCCCCAAGATTTGTTATTAATTTGGTGTCAAACCTTTTGACACTTTCTATCAATTTGCCTGAGTTTGGATCTTTAATTTTAACACTAATGAAAGTTTGATAACGAAACCTTGGCAGAGAAGACACACATAGACAGAGATACACTATTATGTATGATGAAATTATTAACTTTAAAGACACTTTTCTATCATTTTTTTGAACTTTGTCTGATGAAGTGGGTTAAAGCCTGGTTATCTATCATCCCCATCCCCCCTCTAAATACCTTGAAGACATATGTTTTTCTAATGTGTGTAAATTTATTGTTACATGTAGGTTTGTATAAATCTGATGTATCAGACCGATTATATTCTCATAAAACTGATTGATGGATAATTTGTGTTGTTAATACGATGTATGGTGTCCATCAAGTTATCAACCCTATTCTTATCTACTCAATGTTTAATCATCCAGACATTGTATACTGCTAACTTAACCAATCAAGATGGCCACCTAACAACCAAATTTACTCTAAATTGTTGGTTGATAGACATGATTAAACAACTGTTTCCTGTGTTTGTGTGAAAAAATATGACAAGAACAGTGTAGTAGTAAGCCAAATAAAAAACATCAATTGAGTTCTTTCCATGTTGATGTGGTGAAAATCTATTTTTCTGTGCCTACTCAAAAAAGGTGGAATTAACTCAAGTATATTGTTTGTGAATAATATATTTTTTAAACAAACAGATATTTAAAACAATATATTTGTAGGCTTATAATCTACTGCTTTAACCATTGGGAATACATTTTCTACAGACAATAGTCCAAATTATCACCCCACTTAAGCATAGTGAAAGTGTCGTAGTATGTAACTCTGTCTATACCATTTGCTGCCACTTTTCTTTTTGGGAAATTCACATAGCTAACTAGCTTTTGTTATGTTTTTGTTTTCATGATTGAATTCAAGTATGAAGAACTCATTGACCTAATTATCTCACAACTATATCCTATTGACAATTGACAGAGATATGTATGTAGCTGGTAGAAGTAATGGCCAGTCTTCCTGTTTGTTATTATATTGTTACTGTAACTAATAATACTAAACTTTGTAATCAACTTATAGAGACCATATGTGCACTACAGGACAGATTGATTGAAATAATGAACTGATGGTATACATGTATATATAGCGACCACCCGCCCTTGATATATAACACACTGTCTGCAATATCTATACAGGCCTACAATTGATATTTTACTTTTTACATCTTTGAATATTTTTTGTTAAACAAAATAGATCAGTAGTGTTTTGTTATTTTGAGTAACAATGTTTGGCTAATTTTACTTTAGCAGCAATCTGAATTAAAACTGCCAGGTGATATTTTATGTACACAATTCCTACAGGGTTTTTCATCTAGTAGCAGTAGTACAAATAACATACTCAGAGTTTACTATGGGCAAGTGAGAATCAAGCTTTAAAAATCTTCAGCCTATTTATTCTGAAGTTCAACAGAACTTGTTTGAACATGTTATTATTGACTTGTTTTGGATTTTAGTTCATTTCTATAAACATTTAGTTAACTTTGATGTATGTTTTAGGCTAGCCTATTTATTATAAAATCCAGATATAATTTTAATGTACAGGTATTTCAATTACATAAATATGATATTCATATCTGAAGTCCTAACAAGTTTTTTTGTTTTAAAATGGCAAATTTGGTTTTCATGAAAATTTTCATGAAAAGAGAAAATGTGTGAGCTTGTGAACATGTTTTCAATAAACAGATTTGCATTAAATGGGGTAATTAGATCCTTACAAGTTATTCACAGCTTTTCATGTTGCCCACATGATATCAACAAGCTTTGGTTTAATGTGTCGTCTGATTGACACACGCCAACAAAAAGGTGGGAATGAAATGAAGAAATCAGAAGCAGAAACTTTGTAGGAGTGAAACGAAAAACAATACTTTGTGTGTGAACTCTGAGGTCATCAGAAACAAAAAATCAGCAGCAGTTCAAGACATCACAATGTGTCGAATGAACTCTTTGCCATGTATAAAAAATTTACAGGGGTTCTGAGGAAAACAGTGTCACAAGTGTTGAAATATATCCTGGTGTCACCCACCCTGTTTTTCAAAGAAAATGAGACGCAAGGAAAAACAGGCCACATGTAAAGAATAAATATTCCTGATAGAACTAATATCGGTGCCACACCTTTGTCACGATGTCGAAGTCAACAACCTAATGATGTATTTTGTATTTGTCCAAAACCTTATGAAAGCAGGCAAGTTGGTAGGTCTAAGGATATTTAGGATATCAGTTAATATTGGTACAACTCAATAGTTATTTACTTGCCATTTGGTTTTACCCACCAGCAGGCAGGTTCAAATTTCAAATTTTCAAATACAGTTACTTTCTAGGGAATAAATGAAAAATTTTCACATGGATTTGTTTTCAAATAATTTTGTCTGTCCATAATGCAAATATATTTCTTTACATTTTTTTTCTAATTATCAAAGACTATTTATATGCATAAAGCACCAATTTTTACTATGATTTTGTGAAATTTATCTATGTTATATCAATAATGATTGTGAAATACCTACCTCGTAAGTTTTTGATGAAATCTTCTAGTTTCATTTTACGCTCAGGTTTAATATTGGAATTATGTAAGTCTGTATTTAACATTATAATAGCAAAGGCCAACAGGAATATGGTGTCTGGAGTTTTAAAGTATTTCGTCTGATCTGGATTACATGCACAGTATCTGGTAGCAAAAGCCTGAAAAATATCAAATTCAAAATTTAGACATATGCACAATAACACTATTAAAGTTATCAAGATGTAGTTTTTATTTATCTAACTGGGAACCTTTTATTAACCCCTGGATGCTTCTGTATATTTTGGTTTCTGAACATTTTTTTCAGATTGGTCCAGGACTCTGTCTTAATTGATAGGAAGTTTAATTGACTAGATAGAGAATACATCTGTAACCTTTTCAGGTGGTGTCACACTATTTATGGTGGTGGGGTGAGGTGGGGTGAGTAAACAGGGTTACAAGATTTGTTACTGAGTTTAAAAAACTTTTTTATTCAAAGCTTCTACAGCTACTGAACAGGTATGAGTGTGACAGAAATTTGACAACGACATATAAATTAGCAGAAATAACAAAAATTCACTCAAGCCACCGGGTACTTCAAGCTATATCAATTTTCAGACCTATAGGAAACCATTCTACTTAAAATTTATAAATGTAAAGTTCAAGAAAAACATCTGTTTTATTAAACGAAACAAAAAAATAATCCACCACAAGTACATATGCATTAGATAACCACAAAACCAAACTTTCATTAGCAGAGACTGGAAAATGACTTTAAAAGTAGACTTATATCTTTCAAGTCTCTAAATGTAAGACAGACATTCTGACGAATTAAACTCAGAAGGCAAAAAAAGATGCCTGCAATGATACCGACCAGATGTGAGTGAAAGTTAATGTTTTAACCAGCAGACTGCTTGTAGTTCTTTGTTACAATCCAAACAACTTATACCTTCTCAATGTATTTGTCTATAGAACCAAAACAACTATCTATATTCTATCAACTATTGTGATATTTTTATGGTTTAAGTTTTCTTTCACGATATTTATTATCTACATCTACGTTATTTCACATACTGACATGTAACAATTACATAACATGTTATCATTACATGATCAAGTATCGCAAGGAAATCAAGGTGGGGTTGACTGGATGAGCGGGGTGAGAAGAGGTGGGGTCAAGTTTTAAAGTTTTGTCATATTTCAACAAATAAATGAATGAAATGCGGTTTAACATCCTACTTTTCTGCACCTTCTGATGGAAATTTAGCCTGGACAGCGATTGAATTCCAACTGTCAATGGTTCTTTTACGTGCACACCAACGTGTAAACAGGACCGTGTTGTTTTTTTTTTTTTTGGCAATGCGAACGACTAGACGCTGCCCCTTTCAACAGACAACATTTGAAACTAAAAAAACACTGGCAGCAGACAAGATATCTATCATGAGCTGTTTAATTTGAATCAGAATAGTATAATGACATCAATTTCTACTTATTAATATATTCATTTTTTTCATATATCCGAACTTTGATCTGGTTACATAATGTCATCAATGGAATTTATGATCGGGAAAATGTCAATCAATTAATTCAATTATCTATAATTTACATGTCATCCAATTTTCGATGGAATGAATCAACAACAGCCATGTGATAAAATATTTGAATGACATATGTTGTTTAATTAAATTCTTATTTCAATAATTTTGAAATGGTAACTGATATTTCATTTTGCGGATATCAAGATAGAAATGCAGATTCTCTAATGTTAATTTGCAGCCACGGTGGCTAAGTGAGAAAGACATTGGCTCGCTAGCCTGGAAATCCCGTCTTTGATCCCTGCATTGGCCGAGAAAGTCCATCAGGATTTTCCAGCGTGGTGCCCCTTGTCAGTGGTGCAGGACAGAGGTCCTGGCAAGGAAATGAAATGAAATGAAATGGGGTTTAACGTCCTACTGTTCTGCTCCTATACTGGGCTAATGAAGACGGACATACGCCATACAGTGTGCTATGAGGGAAATTTTGCCCGGGCAGCGGCACTATCGCCTACTCTTATATTGAATTCCAAGTGCCAAGGGATCTTTTACGTGCATTCTAATGTATACACGGGAACTCGGTTTTTCGTATCATCCGAAGGACTAGACAGCTGTCAGGCCCTCCGTTCTGCACCACCTGGCAAGGAACAACGTACGGTCGTTCGGATGGGACGAAAAAAACGAGGTACCATGTACACATTGCACGCACATAAAAGATCCCTTGAATTTGATATAAGAGTAGGCCGTAGCGCCGCTGTCCAGGCAATATTTCTCTCATAGCACACTGTATGGCGTATGCCCGTCTTCATTACCCCAGTTAAACCCTATTTCATTTCATTTCATTTCTAATGTTAATTTACAATGGCTTTAATTTAAAGATATTTTATATCTTCTATTTGACCCACAACACTTCTTTTTATCTGATAGTGTGATATTTCTAATCGCATAATATAAGTCCACAATAAATCAAGTTAATTATTACACATTACACAATGGAACCACATTCATCTACATATCTTTCAATCAGAGTGACATGTCATCCATAATGGCAACTACATTAACATATATTTGCTTTATTCAAAATGGTTTGGGTGAAATTTATCTTTAACTATCATAAAGAAAATAAATGTTTATAAACTCATGTGCAGTTTCGGATAATGCTAATATGAGTAACTTGGGTTATAGGCAGGACATAAAGAGTAAAATTTGAAAATAATTAATGATTTTTGAGAGAATCTATGAACAAGTGACCCAAATCTTCATACCAACAGACCTCGAGCCAAAGATATATCGATTATTCCTAAAGTTGTATATTTCATAAAATCGGTTTATCAAAGAGATATGAGATTGTCTAGACAGTTACTGACCAGACTTTCTTGTCTTCCTATTACAAAATAATATCTTTATCCACCAGATTATACTGGGTGACCGTTACTAGCCAACTTGACCATGACTGAATCAGCAATTCATGTATCTCAAAAATCAATATAAGTATCAAAAATGTGAATAGTTCTGGGTAATGCAGGATATTAATATGTTGCAATGAGTAATTCTAATACTGATTTATTTGGACAATTTCAAAAGTCTAAAATTAGTATATTCATTATGGCTTAAGAACTTCAGTTTTTCATTTACAAAATTCATATGAAATTAAAATGCCTTTGATTTGATTTTAATATAACTGACCATCTATCTATAGAAGCCATTTACAATCTTATCAAAGCCCTCCAATTACTGATTTACTTTGGATAAAGTATTAACGTCTCTAGGTGTTTTTAAGTAAAGACTTTTTCATGGTAAATAAACTGGACAAAGTCTATCTGTTTCACACCTCATTGACCACATCAGTCATTACAGACTGATATTAGATTAACAGCATGGAAGATTATGTCTTCTATAAAGAGAGCAATATACTCACAAATAAGTCAGATTACTCCACTGATAAGTACAAGCTGCAATCATTCAAAATATATTCGAAAACTGTGAATCTAAATCTATTATGAAAAGTTATAAGTCCTTTTTTAAAATCAAAAATGCAAAGTTAAGTGTCTATCTTGAAAACGTTGAGAGAATACTCTTCGAAACGTCGCCCAAATAAATCAGTAATTGTTCTTCCATAAGTATGTGTTATAGTTTAATGTCTATCTTTTCTTTTTTTAAATTTCCAAATAAAAAGTTCTGTATCTACTTTTCTAAAATCCCAAATAAGAAGTTCAGTATCAAATTCTTTAAAATCCTAAAAAAAAGTTCAGTATTTAATTTTTCTAAAATCCCAAATAAAAAGTTATGTAAATGTATCTAAATTCAGTATTTCCTTCTTTAAACTTCCAAATAATAAATTTTAAATCTAAAATGAAAAGTACAGCTGAGCATAATTTAACAATAATTGCTTCAAACATCTGTGAGAAAACTGGCAAGTTAATTAAAAGTTACAAAGAAGTAGATTATTATTAACACATCTTTTTGCTTTCTGATTTCTAGTTTCCTTGCAGCAAAGTTAATCATAGCAATAACAGCACTGGTATCACATGCCTTAAAGACAGAATTTATTTTATACATTTCAAAATCCAAATAACTGTCTAAGATAATCTATTTTATTATTTCTTAAATTTGTTCTTTAAGATGTGATAAAAATCTTTCTATTATTTGATAAATTTATACTTTCAGAGGTTATAACTATCTTTTTACTATTTGTACTTTTAGATGTGATAAGAATCTTTTTAGGTATTCAGTGTTTACAGGAACGATCTTATTCAACTGTCTTTATTGACAAAATATTTAGCTATGAAAAGAAACAGAAGTATTTGAAAATGTCTGGGTAAACATTAGCTTGTATGCTGGTGAATAACAATCAGGGATACTTTCATTAACAGCAAGGATTAGAAAAAAAGAACTTCAATATCAATGATAAAAGGGGTTTAATGTCTTACTAAAACAGTAATCTTCTTTTGATTAAGTCTGCAATGTGAAGATGAATTTTTTTTTTATCTGGACAGCAGAATTTCAATATCAATGGTTTTTTTTCCTTTCAATTCGTTAGTTCGTGTGGTTTTGCGTCCGCTTCCACCTTGGGTGATATTGCAGGTTGTTTTTTTTTACATGCACAACATGTTGACGGCTAACAAACAGAATGATTTTCGGTTTATGAACTTCTGACGTGGTCATCAGATAAGTTATAATATTAGGTCGCGTGTAGCCTAGATACCAACGACCAGTCTATCATCATCAAACTAGTTAATATATAACAAGTAGATCTGTAGACTAGTCTCTCATGGCTAACTATAGATAAAGATAAACAAATAGAAGACGAAGGGAATCTGTTGGTTTAATCAGTGGTATTAAAGCAGGACTACAATGGCCCTCACACAGGACTGGTAGATAGATATCATTATTACAATACAAATATACATCAACCATCTAGCAAACTTTAACAATAACAACAGGTCTTTACTTGAATGTTATACCACCCTCGGAGCACTATAGTTAGACATTTATCTGTCCTATTCTTTATCAACATAGAATTCCACACCCCTATCATTATAGACTTTAATAAAACACCTTTTCCTAATAGTTAAGATGGAAACAAGCTGCCACGTAGACTAACAAATAGGCCTATTCGTAAAATTTCTTGGACATTGTAGACAACAATTTATATATTTTAGTTTATCCAGAGCCTTCATTTACTGATCCTTTATTCATTTTATTATACAATACACTTACCTCCATTAATCTTTCAATTTTCTGAGCTTCACCCTAAAAAATTATACATAAAGACTCTTAAATCAACATAATAGATCAAAAAACATAAGTGGGGAGAGGGAATGGTAACACTCGCTTCAAAATTATCAGAGACTGGCCGGGCGTAGATCTGTGAAGCTGCTGGATCAAACAATGATACTGGCAGAGAGAGTAGACATAAAAAGATATAATTATAATGCACATCTCCTTATCTTTATTGGTATCGTTACAAGTTTAGGAGAAAAATAGAGCAATATGCCAATGAAAATACAACCGGTACAATACTTTTTAAGAAAGTAGTATGATTCATTCATAAACAACCCTTTTCTTGTTTCCGATGAGCACTGTCATATTTATTTTTTATACATAACAAATTAAAATTTAATAGAGTATAATACCAGTTCTATTAAATTCATTTAGAAGTAGGAGTACACAGTAGATTATAACTTACCGGCATTCTGAAGTAGCCTTGATATTTCCTTAATGCCATATCCACCTGTAGACCTGATAAATCTATATTCTCTGTAAAATAACTGAAAGACAGAAAACAAGACAACTGTCTTAGATCCATGATAAAAAAAATATTTAATCAAACTAAAATTGAACAGACAGGTTAAAAAAATACCTTTGTAGATTCTTTTAGAATTCAAACAGAGCAACACAGTGGGGGAAACTCTTTGAATATGTCTAATTATTTTGACAGATTGAAAGCTTTGAAAAGATTTTAAATGCAAAACCATTTAGAAGCCAAAAGCATTTTATTTTAGCAATAAGAATATATGACTTTTGTTTGTGTAAAATAATATGCCCAAATTATCATACGTACATGTACATAGGCCATACATTTAATTAAACAATCAACCACAATAGAAATAGAATCTAATTATTTCATCTGTGGTGCAGAATTATTGAACAACAGAAATATCACCATAGTAACTTATTTTACAGGAAATTCCTGCAGAAAGCAATTACTGGTCTCCCTAAGACTTTTCTGTTAGTCCATGCATTATACAATATGCTTTCTATTGTAATTTCCTTTCTAATAAACTTAATTATCATACGGGCAGTAATTATCATGTGTTAGTCGCGTAGAGTGGTTTTCTGCAACTGTGACCTCTTACTGCCCCCTATTGGCAAATATCAACAAATCAATATGAAGAGAGAAAGTCACTGGTTGATGATTGTTTAATAATTCTTAAACCGTCTGCAACTTAAGTTGGAATTTCACACGCTATCTTCTCAGTTGATTTATCAAAGGTAATAAATTGACGCTAGTTATTTCCAAAACAAAGAGAAATTCCGGGCAATAAAATAAGTTTGTATTGATTCTGTAAGTTCGGACAATATGAACGACTGTTGATATCCAAATGTTAATGGTTTTATAATGCTGGGTCAATATTCAGATTATGACAGATCATGAAGATTATATTACATGTCATTAATATCCTGTTAGGAACAGGACGGCCATTTCGGTATAAATTCATTCTCAAGAATGTGACTTGTCTCAGAATTTGTAAACATGAAACATGTGATTGTTTGGTTGTGTAATATTAAATCTTATAATGATTTAAAGGTTTCATCGATTCTTCATATTTTACCATAGAAAAACGACAATTAAAACTTTTCTAAATAAATGGTAAGTGATATCAAGTGTTTCAGAAGGACACTCCAGGCCAATGGCCACTAGCCAAATTGAATTAATACAACAGATCTGATTATTGAGTCTAGCAATGAAAGCTGAGCTGTGTCCATGCTAGTCGCACAATAGATACTATCAATACAAATGTATACCAAAAATTGTAAACTTCAAAAGTAAATGAGAGATCGTATCAGAAGAATGTTCAATTTATAACTGGAGGAAATTGGTTGTAATAGCCACAACTGGTTGGTAAACACTTGAATATGATATGGTTGAAAGTGAGATCTGTAAAGTAGGATAGATCAGTTGTTTATAAGATAGTAGAAGTTGTTTGTTGATGTAGTGTTTATACATTATGCCAATGTGTTACTCTAATATCTTTATCTTATATATCTACATGCCCCCAACACAATCAGCAATTTGTATACACTAGAGTATTAGGACCAACAGACTTATCCACTTGAATCATATCTTAGTTTTACCCGACACTTTCTATTTCATTCTAAACTGAAGTCACTGCAGTACCAAAAGCCAGATTCTTATACTAGAAAACAAGTACAGAAAACAACTTGACCCAACTGAGTGATTTCATCAAGTGAAAAATAGTTTTCACATTTCATAATGGGATTTTGTAAAGTGTGTCATATTTTTAGAAGTGGCCATAAACAAAAAAGAAATATAACAGTTTACATGTTTTGACCACAGTTCTAAAAAGTGTGTCATTTTTTTTTTTTTTATCAAATTATGGCTCGCTTACACAGGTATCAGGATGAGTGCTAGGCCTAAGTCACAAGTACAATTCCAGGCCTACACACAATACTTACTTTTGATATTGTGAACAGGATTTATCAAGAAACAAGAAACCAATTGGCAGTTGTTAAATGGTATTGACAGATGAGTGTAAAGCCAGGATAAAAAAAAATGGACAAACAAACATAGACTATCATCTACTGATGGTGTATTAAACAGATTCTATCTTCCTAGTATTAGTATCCTATATGTGGCAATAAAATAATACTAGGTGTTTAAAACATGTTCACCTCGTCTTATGAAGTACATGTCCATTTAAAACATCTGTCGTGTTAACAGGAAAATTTCATTACGAGTTGGTTTTTAAATCAATCTGCAACCAAACAAGTCAAGATACAAACTGAGTATCAGTATAGTGTCACTGTCATTTGGTGTGTCTGTACCAGGGCTTTTAACTCCAAACTTCTGAGAGCCGGTCAATGTTTGATAATAATATGATAAGATTTAGCATTATCACATAACAATGCAAACATATTTATTGTGTTTTTTGAAGGTTAAATTCTTTGAAATTCTAAAATTTTACTGCATAAATTGACTGACAGGTGAGATCTCCAGCTGGTCAAATTCACTGCAAGTCTGTGAAAATTGGAAAATATGAATGAAAGGAGAGAGAAATGGTGTTTAAACGTTCACTCTTCAGTCGATATTCTAATGCCAAACTATAAAATATCAAACTATCGTCAATTTTTATTCAATGTGCTTGTGCACTGTGGTCTTTAGTAACAATGGAAGGAAACCAGATAGTCTGGAGAAAACCAATGAGGTTAGGCAGGCAACCCTATTCCTTGTCACATACAAGCCTCAGATCAAAACCACACCACTTCACAGACCTTATGATCTAAAGCCAACACGGTCCACTCCACCACCCAATATATGCAAGAAGTAGCATAGTAGTATGTGAAAATAATTAAAATGTAACATTTTACTGTTAATTATTTATGTTGATATAAAACAACAGATGTTTAAGTCAAATGTTTTTATCTACCAGAGATCAGACATTTTTTAAAACAAAGTACTTGGTATATCATGTAATTCTAGACTAAAACACACTCAAACATGTTGAATTTATCTTTAAATCATCTATAGTTTTTGTTGGCATCCATTCTTTATAATGCATCTATGACTTCTTTTTGTTGAGTTTCAGTGATGATTGTGTAATTAAAGGGGAACTCTCATCACCTTTTTTACTTACACAACAAAACATAATGTAGAAGTAAGCAACTGTGTGGAATGCAATGTTTTTAATGTTAGCAAGGTTACCAGGTAACATTTTAAACAGAGAATTCATAGGCAATCTGACATTGACAAAGCAGTGCAGAAACACAAATGGTTCTTATATAAATTTCCCTAGACTTGAAGTCAATTGCCCAATTTCCCGATAGCCATGCAAATTGAATTCAAAAATAATATTAAATCTGTTTGTTGCATTTGAATAGGTCAGACACTGACAAATATCCTCAATTGTCCAAATTAAATTATTACATTTCATTCTCAATTCTTTTTTCTTTGATACCTTTCTGGAATTTGCTATTAATGGCACCATTCCATGTTCAAGTATCATATTTTCATTTCCTAAAGATTACTCAATTACAATTAGTGAATTATGGATAAAAAATTGCAATAATGTCGTTATCAATGAAACAATCGTCCCTGAAAAATTCAACATGTCAGAAATGGAAAGAGAAATCTCTCTCCCTACAGATTTTATATCTCTGAAGATTAAGCCGAAATTTTATTGGATGCTAATCACCGTCTGCTAACTGATGATAAATTTTATATTCTTTGTCTTTTATCATATTAACAGATGATTCATTCGCAGGAATTCTCCAGGAGTGAATTGACAAAAGCGGTCAAGCAGCAAAACTAATTTATAATTTGCTAGGCATCAGTTATTAGTGCTGGTCAATGAGTGAGGCGTTTAATATTCAACAGATTTCTATTAGCTCTCATGTCCTGACTTTTAGGCAATTTTGTGACACTAGAGGCTAATTTACATATTGACTTGACTAGCATTAAGTACATGAGAAGTGTTCTGGCATGCGGACAACAGATGGCCTGGCCACCAGAGGCATCCCTGGTTTGTGGATTTGTCACCTCTGCTTGTTCTGGTATTTGCTACTTAGTCAATAATAGAGAATGGATGATGCCCGTTAGATTATATTTAAGCTAATTGTTTTTTGTGTTTTAGTTCTGGGATCAACAGATGGGAAAACAAAGAATTTTTTTAATGGCCCTGATAGCACGTGTCAAATTTTGCAAATTAGTTGAGAACAGTTAATGACAGTTGACTTCCCACAAAAGGATCATCAAAAGAAATTTTAAACCATTTTTGGGGTAAAAAAATGAAAATAAAGAGACAAAACAAACCTATGAAAAGTGTGTCATATATTAAATCTCAAAAACATCTGTTGTCAATTTCTTTTTAATGGCAGCAGCAAAAACCATTTTGCTATCATGGAACCAAGTAATATTTTAACATTTTGTGTTTATATTTATCTAGTCAGTGGTCTAAGCTTTTTTATTGTTATTATAGATAATAATTGTGAAACTTCAATATAATAATGCACTGCCATCATAATTGATTAGTAATTTAAATGTACAAAGCATAAATGGAGTATACCATATTATAATATACTAATTTAAATGTTAAGTTAACTTTACTTTTAAATATCTAATAGTTGTGTTTGATGCATTAGATCTCTGTGTGCTTGACTAGAAACCAGAAATCTACACAAGTTTCAGAGAATTCAAAGACAAAGAAAAACACTACCAGCATTTTTTATCCATCAAATTACAAGATGTGCATTTTTTTGCTGTGTGGCATGTGCTTTAAATTTTCAAGATCTCTAATCTTTTCAGAAAAAAAAAAAAGAGAAAACACTTAAGAAGAATATCAACTTACATAATTTTTATGATGTTTTTCTTAATTCACAAGACGCATTTTTATTTTTTTACAAATTTAAAATAAATTTTAAATACCCCGTACCAAAAAGCAGCCTGAAGTTTTTTTCTGATAGGATTAGATATTTTTTGGTTTCTGATGTCCACATGAACAGAGAAAGAGAAAGAGAGAGAGAAAGAGAGAGAGAGAGTGAGAGAGAGAGAAATGGGGTTTAACCCGGGACTAACATATGGTTCAATTTTATTTCAATAATTCGCACTAGCACGTAGGGGTCTTTAGCAGTGGAAGGAAACCGGAGGACCTGGAGAAAACCCACAAGGCTGGACAGTCGACCCTACTCCAGGTAACCAAAACCACTCAAGTTGACTCAATGACAGACCTTACGATACAACACGCATGTGCTAACCATTCGACCATCCAACCCCTCCCCCCTCTCAACATGAATGAGAGTGTGGTTCACAATGTACTTTATCTTTATGACACAAGCTACTTTTAGTCTTGGCCACAGAACTGTTCAAGACCACATTGAATTCCAGAAATTCATCTAGTCATTTAATGATATTACGCAGCTTTCGCTACCAGGAGACGAAAGTGAATAGCCACATTGTTTCCAAATAGCCTACATTTTAAGTTTGCTATAAAATCTTAAGTCAAGGTTAATATTGACGAATACACGGAAAACCGTTCTTGGTACCGATACTGTTTACACCACAAAAACTAACCGTGCCATTCTCAGAACAGTCCTGAGGACCTCATTTCAGTGGTCTGAATTGACCTGATTGTACTTTTAACTGTTCCCCCCTTGGAACTGTTCCTGGCACACTTAAAAGTGGTAATGTGAATGCTGTTACACTTACAATAAAGATTCTCTCTATTGTGTGGGATTTTACCAATGGATCCAAGAAAGATTTCTGATTGTTGAAGATATGTAATCGTAGAATTTTAACTAAAACATTGAAGGAACTAATAATCAGGAGACTAGTCACAATATAATCAACTCATGAATGAAGATGAGCTTTTACACATTCAGCTTGCTTATTTTAGATTCTTATACGACAATTTGATCTTCTGGTATCGGATAAGACTGACCACAGTCAAATTAATTTTCATCCACGAAAGATCAAAATGAACTTGTGTCTTTGATATAGGACACAATAACATTGTCTACCCGTCTTGTTTAATAACGGTTAAGATACATCATGGTCTACTGAACAAAATAATAGCTATCATTTTTTGTCTCAAACAATGTAAGACATCTTACTTGAAGCTAGATCCCTCATCAGAATCAATCAACATTTTTCCACACTTGAAATAAATGTATTTATTCCTCTATAATGAGATGATGTTTCTTTTAAACTAGGTATTTTAACCACAATACTGGCAACCATAATTCAATTTCTGACACCCATGTAACATTTACCAATTGTTATAGCTTCTTCTGATCTTGTTCCACTGGCTAGGAAATGATTAGGGGACAAAAACAAGTAGATGAATCACAAAGATTGTGTTTTGTGTGAGTTCTAATGAAACTAATAATGTGTATTTATTGACAAAATATGAGCCCTGTTCTCATACATCATTATTTCTGTAAAAAAAAACCCCACATTTTAGGTTATCTTTAACCTTAAATTAAACGAGCACGTGTTCTTTGAAGATGAAACACATTATTTCAAATAAACATTCAACAGTAATAACATAATCATGGCAATTCTACTAGGAAATTTACAGGCTTAAAAAAAATCCATTTCTATCAATCTCATTAAGAATATGGTATCTGTGTTAAAACTACATCGAGGATAACTTTCATTTCATTTCTTCATTAAAGCTAATGATTGTCATTTGTATTATTTTTTTATGGAAAATATCTAATTTTTCACATCATTTCATTTATACCCAATTGTAACAAAAATGGTGTATGTGTATGGTGTTTATATATTGTCCATTATAACTAAAGGAGTAACAAGATATGACTTTTATAACACAATAATTACATTACCTTGGTAACCAGTTAATCATCATGTTGTTTCTTATTATCATTATAACATACATTATACATACAGTTAATAACAAACTAAGCTGGAACTGTTGGGGGTATATTGGACATAATACATAATGGCTATATGGTACAACTATTATAGTTTCGTCCCATCATTTATCAGTTGTCTTCCCATGTTAACCATAAACACACCCTGATAATAACTGAGCCAACAACAATAAGTTTATTACTATTTGTTGTAAGATTGTCTACTCATGGTTTTGTACTCATGGACATAAAAGTAGTTCATGAGTACAAAACCAGGAGTAGACAGTCTTCAGGAGAGGGGTATTTGGGGTTTGACCTAGTAACTGAAGAGTACTGGAAACGAATGTGTCAAGAGTAAACCAGAAAACAATGAAGAAGAAAGGTAGTTGGAACTCACTGTAAGACTTCCATGTTAAACTGATTCTGTAAATTTCCCAGGAATTCTCCAATCATCTGCTTGCTGACCCCTTTTCGCATGATGAAAAACCGAGCAATATTTTTAGGAGATCCATCTAAAAACCCGTGTTCAATTAGAAAATTTAGTCCCTTGTCAGGTTTCCTGAAAAAGATAATGATAATGTTATAATTATAATAATGTTTCTATTTCAAATGAAATGTGCACAGATTGTCTACATAGAACATTTAAAGGAATTCTAATACAAGGCTCCATGAATCGTCACGTTGGTTTTTATAAAGTTGTGTAACATAACTAGACATCCTAATATGTGACAATGTACTTCAATTCATGATACAATTAACAAACTTCTGAGAATGAATGAAATGTAGGACTGTTGCTGACTTCACTCTTTGTAGATAGTAGTTATAGTACAGTTATATCAAATTGTGATTAGAAACGTATAAATTAACAGGATATTAATTTGAACGTTTTGGGCAAAAATTAAATCTTATAAATTGTGATGTAGTTACAATACATTATCAAAGGGTTTCAAGATCTGAGACAGAATTGTTATTGGAGAAGTTTTATCCTACAGTTACTAAGCAAGATTACAACCTGCCTTCTCCATATTTGAGCATGAATGAATTTAAAGTATACAAACATAGTATATATGTAGGTGTAGAAAATGATAAGAACAGATTGCAACACCTGGACATAGTGTAAATTGTTTTTAATGTATAAGTAATAAGAGATGGTAAGGTATACTGTAGAGAGATAGGTAAGATGATAAGTATATTTATACTATCTACATCTGTTTAATACCAACATCTTTTACATGCTTCTTCATGTGCTATATGGTATCAAGACAATCAACACAATTTATGTTTAGTACCGTAATATCCTAGTATTCTTCAGGCACAGAATAAAATCTATCAGCTCCAATAAAATGATGATTATAAGTTATCTACATTACGAGAATTGATTTGAGATCATGAACAATTATTTATCACCAACAAAATTTTGTTAAAGTGGTACCAATGCTGCTATAAATGAGAATTCAAGTTCATTTCAAAATTTTGTTTATATCCTACCAAGAATTATTTTACAAATTATGACAATAAATAACATTTTTTTAAATAAAGTGCAATAGCAAATATTTAGCTGTATTTATTGTGATTTGAAGTCCAGTTGTTTTAAATACCTAATTTTAATTTTTGACAGACAGTGAAATTTTCCAGCCAATCAATTTCACCGTGAGTCAGTCAGGATTATAAAATATGGCTGTATTGAGAAACCTGCTTACAAATTTGATTCAGAAAAATATATACTGTACACTGTATCCAAGAAACAGCATTTTAATAATTTATATTTTCATATATGTGTGTGTAGAATGCATGTTTTATGAGTGTCAATAAACCTACTACTACTCTGTAAATCTGTGGGTGTTTTTAGCCGACAAATCACTAAGTATAAAATGTGTGGGTTAGATTTGTAACTTGATCAATATCACAATCTAAATATAACAGAATACCCCACCGACTCAATCACAGTATAGAATACAAAGAAATTAGAATGGCAAATCTTAAAATAACTTCTATTTTTTTAAAACTCATCATGTAGCCTGCAGGGACATTTATACCAATTGCTTTGTTCAGACAATTTCTAGTCAAGCACCAACACAAGCCAAGTGCTAGTGATATATTTATAGCAATGCAAAGAACAGTAAGAACTGGAAGTTATATTAGATTAAAAGGTTTATGTGGCAGCTTGATAATGTTTAACCTGATTATATTTACAAGTTTTATATGATGTCTGATGATAATTAAATCGAAACATGTTAGTTTATAGATTCATTCACTTTTCATAATTCTCTTATTGGTAATTCAAAATTTATGAAGAAAAATCGAAAAATGTTTTAATACAAAAAGAAAATATGCCTATTATAAACCATTAATAATATAGCTATGTAGTTGCATCTTAACCCTTAATCAATTCAAGCTATATAAACTGAAAGCATCAATTTGTTGCATCAACTTATTAAACCCCAAGCTAATGAAATTGTATTAGAAAAAGTAGATGTATAGAACATGTACAACACATGTTAAAAGTAGGAACAGGAGCAGGCTAATTGATTTACTACAGGTAGGTTAAGAACAGTACAGTTCAATAAGAAAACAAGTAAACTTTTACAAATGGCCTAAAGATGTGTGCTGGGTCATCTTTCCTGCTACAAGCTCATCAAATGCAAAAAACATTTGTTACACGTGTTTAAAGGTGAGAAGAGCCGATAAAAGAAACACCTGGGTCTGTGTCGAAGGGTGTGGAGAGAGAAACTACATAACAAATTTATTTCATACTTCTCGATCCAAAATTTGATCCTGTCTGCATTTAAGTTGTTGGCATTGTTTCTTTATACTCATATAGTAACATAAGATCAGAAAAATGCCTCATAAAATGTTCAGAATTCATATCATATAGTGATCAGTTTTTCATATGGCAATTTTTGACTGTGGTATTGGAAAGAAATGTAACTAATAACTATTAGAATTTGAACACTATCACCCGAGACAAAAGTTTGTGCTAATACATCATGTTTTATAGGAGAATAATGAACCTAACAAGAACTAAAAACACATAATTCAGTGCCAACAAACCCAAATTGCCTTGCTAATAATGTACTTTTACTTCTTTTTTTATGTTTTTTCGGTGACTAAAGTCTGATCATTAGCAAAACGATTCCCTAATATACATGTAGTTGATCACAAAACATTTTACTAAAATATAAGCCTGCACAAAATAAGGACGTTCAATTAACAAAATAATTTCAAAATGCTTTGTGATTAACTATATAATTAACATTAAGAGAGAGAGAGAGAAATGTGGTTAACGTCCACTCGATACAAACTAGATCATTTCAAGACTAACACATGATTCAATTTTATTTCAATAATTTGCTTGCGCGTAGGGGTCTTTAGCAGTGGGAGGAAACCGGGGGACCTGGAGAAAACCCACGAGGTTGGAGAGGCGACCCTACTTAATAAACATTTATGGTTAATACCTAAAATCAGTTTGAAGAGTAGCAGGGAGTCATGCTCAAGTTTTAGAAAAGTGTGATTGAATACCTAGATTAATTTTTTCTAATATTGGTATTCAAATGAATTGCTTTTTAAATGAATCTGATGTGTCATGATGTAATATTGTATAAGAAATGGGAGACTGGTCTTCAACTTACTACATAGAATTTAGATTATGACTTTATTGTGATGAAATGTGTTTAATTAGTTTTTTTTCCGACAAATTTTCTCCAATGACGGTAGGAAATGAAATGTGGTTTAACGTCCTACTGTTTTGCTCCGAACTGGGCTAATGAAGACGGGTCCAATGATGGTGGAAGATGTAAACAATAATGTTATGTTTGTAGAGTAAATGTAATTCTGTACTTACTTATTAAAGAGATTTAAACCAATACGATATGATCTTTTCCGCTGTTTATCGTTAGGTCGAGGTAAAGTCTGCTGGTCGGGTGTGACACTTAACCGTAATCTGGGTTGATAACTAACACTATTTTCACTGGATATACTAATATTTTCCTGACTTATATTTTCCGAGCTAGGTGAGCTAGAAGAGCACTGTCCGTCTAAACTTTCTGGTTCGCTAATTTCAGAAATGTTGCTCATTCGTTTAGGTTCAGATAGAGCGTTAATGTTTATATTTCCATTTATGACAGGTGTTAAAGGAGCATTACCCTTACGTTTCCAAATGGGAGAAGTTTCCGGAGCTCGAATTGGTGGAATAGGTTTTAAATCCTCCTCTGACTTCCGAGAGCGCATTTTCACTTTGGTATTCATGTAATACTTAACTGATTGGTCCTTGAGTGATTGATTATGATCAAATAAACGTGTATCTTCTGGTGACGCTAAATCTACTTTTATTTGCACATCACTAGCAGACGTGGAAGTTTGGTCATGGGAGTCTGAACGCAAATTATCGTACATTATCATGTTACCGTGTGCACTATCTAGGGTCGTATTAAAACTAGAATCAGAATTCAGAGATGAGGCAGACGGACGTTTTGTCAACGAAACATCATGGCCACCATCACTATAGATACTGTCACTATGAAAACTATCCGTTAAAACGTCGCTTTCTTTACCCTCCAGTAAAGTTTCAAAATCTAAACTATGGGGATCTACACTATTTTCCACAGACGTTGTTGTTGGCAACTGAGAGTCACTAGCACTACTTGCATTCATTTCTGGATAAGAATTGCGATTGTTATTTGTTTCGTCCACAGCAGCACCATCTGATTTTTTCTCCTTCTCATGTTCAGAATCTAGATTTGCAGAGAGATCAACCTCCACGGATCTCTCTAATTTTTTCTTTTCTCTTTTCAAGAGCCTATGTTGTTTATGCTCACTCATTTTAATACTTTGATCAAAAGACATCTGATGATGGACGTGCACTTTATGATCATTCTGACGATTGGATTCAAATTCGGCCACCATTTTTCTTACATCACTTCCAAATGTTTCGTTATCTTCTGAATCTTCTGCATCGATTTCATTAAATTTTCCGTTATAAATGACTCGATCCGTCCAAATTGTGTTGCTACGACCAATTTCTGAAAGACGCTTTGACAATCGCCTTTCTCCCACTGAATGACGCAATTTTTGAAAATTTTTGTTCATGCAATAATGACGGAATGCTCTTTGAATAGTTTTTGCTGCGCGTCGAGAACGGAATGATCCTCCATACTTCCGCTCTAACATTTCCACCTGTTTGTCGTGTAAATCCTGAGACAGTTCGTAAGATACAGATGATGTTCTATATTTCTTGATCACTTCATCTTTGTTGTTTTTCAATGAGCGCTGTCGTTGCAGCCGGCTGCAGCTAATGCTGCCCTGGCTGACAAGTTTAGAAGTACGGGGCGACTCATGAGGGGAATTACCCACCGATTGTGACTTTCGAGAGCGGAGCTCTTCACCAAACTTGGTACTGGTGACACTGAAAATATAAAGAAAATTTGCATAAGAGTAAATCAAATGTACGTTTTTATGAAATTTATCCCTTACATGACAACACAATAAATGCCAACACGTTTCAAAATTGAATGTCTCCTCAAAAAAATTGACATCCGCACCACAGTCAAGCATGAACTATATAACATGCTCTATACATATCTACAATACACATACTTATTAAGAAATCTTAAAATAAAAAGAAGCAGTTCTTCATCAGTATAGCCAGACAGATTTTTAACATTCTTAGTCGCTTTGGCTCCCTTTTTCTTCTGTTGCTCACACTTGTTCTGTCTTTTTACTTTTCTACAAGATTTTTCCATTATAAACGATGAGTTATGGAAAATATCTTCAGTCAAAAACACATAATTTACATCAAAATCTCTGCCTGGCTGCCTACCAGCCTCATCACATAGATCTACTAGACATTATTTCACAGGTAAATGTCTATTAACAATATGTAGATATCATCTCTTATGATATCTAACAATTCATATTGTCTGCTTATATATACGATGGCCTGATTCATAGCATGACACTTAATCTACATCTAGTCAATATTAGTATAATCATAGTTATTCATACATACATGAAATGATTTCTATTCTAATCATTACAAGTACTACTTACAGATAAAGCTACAATAAAACCTTTCTATTAAAACCAAAATCCCATTAAATATCAGTTAACAATATGAAATGAAATGAAATGGGGTTTAACGTCCTACTGTTCTGCTCCTATACTGGACTAATGAAGACGGGCATACGCCATACAGTGTGCTATGAGGGAAATTTTGCCCGGGCAGCGGCACTATCGCCTACTCTTATATCGAATTCCAACTGCCAAGGGATCTTTTACGTGCATTCCAATGTTTACACAGGACCTTCGAAGGACTAGACAGCTGTCCTTGTCAGGCCCTCTGTCCTGCATCACTGACAAGGGGAAACCACATCGGAAAATCGGGATGAACTTTCTCGGCCCATGCAGGGATCGAACACCCGACCTCCAGGCTAGCGAGTTTAACAATATGAATAATTACTCCTAACAAACCATTGAGATAAATGTAGATCTCTTCACCCTAACCTAACCCTCCTCAATATTCTCGAATCAATTAGAAAATCTTATTATAATGCACCTCCCTTCAGCAATTGGCATAAGACCTAAGATTAGTACCTCTCCTCATGCCATCACATCACTCTGGTTATAGAATTTTAAAGCCATTAATTTGCACAGTTACATGCCACATAGAATCTTATAGAAAATGTGTGACTAATAAGAAGCCATATTAATTATCATTATATAGATATCAATCTTTGTTGCATGTTAAAATTACTTATATGTCAGATGTTGAGTTTATAATCTATGTATATGATATTGATTTACCAGACAAGACTAGACTAAAACTCATAAATATAAATAACAAACAAAAGATTGATGTTTTGGGGTGTACCGGTACTGAAACAGCAGTTGCCATGTCATTATTCAGTCATGTGATGGTGATGTCACCATCAGGTTTTTAAGTTTTAATCGGACATTTAGTGCCATGATGTCATGCTAAAAAATAAGTATTTTGACAGCTTTAACAATAGCAACTCTGTTCTAATTCAAATTTTGAAAATTTGTACATTGTTTTTAATGTTTCATGTATTTTTTGTATGAATAACTTTGGAAATTTAAAAATAAAAGAAGTTTTAATCTTGAAAAAAAAATCTATAGTGAAAATATTCTTGTGTTTTAATCTTGAAAATATTGTATAATATTTATTGAAAAATAAAATATATATGTTACCAATTCATGTAAAGCATCTAAATTACTTACAAACATCAAACTTATATACGCATATAATTCTCAAGATAAAATCCAAACAATTTAAAATTCAGTTTAAAATTGTCATAAACATCCTGTTATTCACAAATTATAGCATCAATATCCACATTATCACTACACTTCTGCTACTCTCACATAACGGTTTTAGTTTTATAAACACACAGCATTAGACCAGCTACTGTTATTCAAACGTCAAATGAGATCAACTGACAGAAGGCGGGGTTTAAACAGATGGTAATATTTCTGCTTCTGCTGCTTCCACCATTAGTAATACTTCTTCAGGCTTTTATACAAATACAACTAACCAATTGGATAAAAACAATACAAGTACTTAGGCAGGGTTAGAGGTCGTTCTGGCGACCTTATCAAAGGTCAAGTCAGTCTACCCTCTTCACTATTGATGTAAAATTTGACAATGAGGAAACTGAATTCATTTAAGACAGAACAATTTCCTACAGCTCTATAAATGAACGTTACAGAATAATAGTCCAATACTGATTTGAGTTCTCCTGTCTTCGACAATTTCGAGGAATTCTGGTTTAAATAGAAAATTATGTGTCCGATGACGTAAAGAGGTCATGTAACCCAGAGACCAATGAGATGGTAATGACGACACACTTCAGTTGTCTCTGATTACAATAAAAACCTGACACCAGTACAGATTTGGAAGCATTATACTTGAGTTTCACTGTCTATAAAAGAAAGCATGCCTCATTCTTCCCGAAATAAATGCAATAATTTAAGATTAAAATAATTTGTGGGTGGAAATTTGAATCTTTCCAACAACCTACATAAGGATCTATGTATTCCCAGTTTAATTTTCGAAACTCTTGACAAAACAAATCTATTTAATTAATAAAATCTCAGTTTGTGACATAATTATATTTCAATATAGATCATATTTCGAATTACAAAATCAATTTTGAAGAGAAAAACATAATTTTTCATAGATGAATCTTCAAAAGAAATACTTTGGGGTATATTTGTGAATTTTTCTTACTGAGATATTGGAATGAGAATATCGGCAGTGACCTCGCCAATAATTTACACAAATACACATGTATGTTTCGATTTAAGCAATATGAAAGTTAAGTGAAAATATAGATAAGCAGTTTTTGTACTGCGATATATATCATACAGCAGGAGGACCTGTATTTTTAATTGATACTGATATATGTTGATTTTTATAAATAGTCGTATTAAAATTTAAGAACTATATTTACATGGGAGTTAATACATTGTAAGATGAGCTAATAATATCTTATAATACCACATAATCTAAGATGATATTATCTGTACCAGGATTGTAAAGGGATGTTATTTAATTTCTACATCTTATATCAGTTTGTCCTGATTTCTATAGGATATATTGACGTACTTCCTTTCTTCCTGAAGATACAGGAAGTTCACACTCGTATTCAAGTATAAGCCCATGGCAAACCACATATTCCAACAATTGTAAGATTAACCATCAAAATGTTTTGCTGAAAATTACTTTCACATCTAATTTAAAATAAAAATCAAGATATAGTGATGTATTCCTCTTTGTGCAGTATCATGTCCATAAAAAGCCATTGTGTTGCATTATAGGATGACAACATGAAATTATACTTTCCATACAATAACTACAGAAAAACCATCAATGTGCAAAACACAATGACATTAAATTACCTTTTACGCCTTCTTCTCCCCAAACTAAAATACTCCATCTTTTTGATTTTTATCCTATATATTATAATCTAAATCTTTGCTTTATAGAATACACACACACACACATCTGGATCAGTCCACATTATTATCCATAACAAAGAGATTTCAAAATGTAAGGACGCTAGAGTAGTAGAGATAAAGACACAGCGTGTGTCTAAATACTTCAACAGATACTGAGCGAAAGTAATGGCATAAACTGTTGTAAACACAATATATTATCAGTTGGTCTACAGGCTATTACCAATTAGGTAACAATGTCAGTTCATCACTGAACTGGTACTTCATGGTAGGTTTATATGTTAACCCTAGCTGACCATTATCTCAAACATTAAGTTAGAATCATGCAGTGTTAAATGGTCCATCCCCCCATATGCTAACACCATATGTCTACATCTTTGTTTACAATATAAATTGTAAATCTATAAAAGTTGTACACTGAGTAAATAATGTCATATAATATTGATGTTGGTCATTGTCTTAATGAAGTTTTTACGATGCTCCCATCAAGGACTCTTAAACTAACACTAGGGATACGGTTATTGGAGTATAAGTGCCATTTTTAAAATGGCTCTGCTCATGTATGTTTTACTACTTATAAATGTCTATCTTTGTAAAGATTAACATTCGACAAAAATGATCAAAAATTAATTTACAGCAGCTTCATTTAAAAGTAAAGTTTATACTTTTTGCAATATAAAATGATTTTAATTTATTAAAACACAGGCAAATCCAGGGAAGGAACCAGGACCCCACCCTCTAAATAAAATTAAAGTGTACCTTTTTTATCCATATGATCATCAGAAATAAAAGTAACTAAATGAAATGGAGTTTTACATCCTACTTTTCTGCACCAACCAGGATAATGAAGGACATATGCTACACACTGTTTCGAGGAACATTTGGCAAGGACAGTGGTGTTTAGATCAACTCTCCAACTGCCTAGGGTACAATCCGTTTCAAAAATAAATAACACAAATTGAGAGGAATAAATAAAATAGTCTACATGTATGTATCCGATAGATTCTTCACCAATTCAATGCTAAGGTGGACCATTTAAAATCAAACTGTTTAGGTATGAAACATTATTAAATGAAAGATATATATTACCTTTGTTTTCTGCATAAATCTTTAAAGCTCTCAAGAATTGTATTAAAATATTGGCACATCATTTTGAACTTTTGATACAATGATAATTATGTTTTAAAATTTTGCTAATGCTATGCTTAATTCATTACAGAATTCAACAAACTTGTATTGACTGAAGAGTTTTTCATTCAAATTTCCATAATAATGATCCATTAGTCTGCTCTAAACCAATTTCAAATTATCACTGTTTCAAACTACCACATCATTTGTAGCCATTCCAAAATAGATCTTTCAATAAATAACTGACATCCAAACTATAAATATACATTGTCTCATGAATAATGTATATTCAGTTGTCCACTC